AACTCATTTTTGCAACCAATAATATATAAAAGAAAAAAAGAGGAAGAGAAAACCTTCATTATAAAGCTAACCTAGGTGATCATATGTATGTAATTTCGGTATGCGCTCAATTAATAACAATTTAGATATAATCCTCAATGCTAAGATCTAAGAGCTCGCTTAAACCAATAATCACAAAGAAGAGCTTTCATCACCAATCCTTTTGTAAGAAGACGGTCGAAGAAAAACCAAAAGAAATGCCTTTGGCTAGCCTTCAACAAATCCAGAAAAAAGAAAAGACGTACCCTTGAAATTTGGTTTCAAGTAAGCATAGAGAAGCTACAAGTTTACAACGTACCAAAGTTTGGTAAAGTCTTAATGATCCCTATTCGTTCTTGAATTGATAGAAGGAACATGCACCAAATCGATTCGATTGGAATAAAAACATGCCGGTACGTTTATAAGTAAGCATGATCAAAGAAACAGGAAAGAAATAAGGAAATGTTAACGATCGAGTGCTTACAGGGCACCCTTTAAGAGAAATCTATTGGGTTTTAGAAACAACAATTTAGCATTTTTTTTTGTATTGACAATACATAAAAATGCTATATTTAGTGTTCGTAGATGTTTTAACCTTGATACGTGAATAACTCACCAAAAATTAAATCTGAATTTCGATTATAAATTAATTTTCAACTATCATAATAAACTTGTTATTCTAAATACATATATGCCTGCGATTTTCTATTACTATATTCTGATAAATTTGTCAGCATGGCACATTTTCAGTATCCATATGCCTAATTCCTTTGTTTACATTATACATATATGCTTCGTAGTGAGCTTCATGCATGCATGATAACACAGAAATCTGTATGTATACTCCCCATATAAAGTAGTTTATTGAAGAAACCCAAAAGTTTAAGGTTGGCGAAACACAAACGATAGATTTATAAAACTTTTTTTTTTTTTTTTTTTTGACAAAAGCATTATTCTTTTTATTTTTGACAATACTAGCTAACAGAATAATAAAATACTGATCAGTTTAATTAGCAAAATTGATTGCAGCACTTCTAAAATTAGTCTCATTAGAAAGCCTTTTTACAATGCATGAGCAAAACGTTCTCCTCGCCGGGACCCAAAAAAAACTCTGTTTTATAAACATGATGCATGCATGAAAGAAGAGGATTGTAAATGTGGTTAAGATGACTAAAAGTGAATAGATGTAAGATAAGTCATCTAATCAAATTTAGAATTGTTTAACACAAAATTCAGGTAGAACTATAATTAAGGATATGAAATACTGAAAATCACCTAAATTACATTACATAATCACAATAATAAAGTACTGCTAATTCCCATAATTGCACATAAAATCTCTCTTCTCTCTTCTTTTTTCTTTTTTCCATGTTATCTTTTTAAGATGGGAAAACATAACCATGATGGTTAAATTTATCAATTGTTTGATGAAACATATTTTTGATGAATAATTTACCGAACATCTTGATCAAATGATAGGATTTTGAAATCATAGGATCAAAGGACATGATTTCATATCAAGTATCACTTTGTGAAATTCATAATATATAGAGATATGATTTAGATAATCCACAAACAAAATACAAGAATTAAAATAGATGTTATACAATGATCTCAAAGAACTACTTATTTTACAAGCATGTTCTCCGATTTTTCAAGTAGTTGTCTCACTCAATCCCTCCAGATCATTAACTTAGCTACCATATATATACCAATATTTCTCAAAAAAATAAGGACAGATATGCATAATCAATATGTGAATTGTATACACCGAAAGTTCAAAACACAAGCTATAGCCAAGTATCATCATTCTTGGGGGAAAAAAAAAAAAAAGGTTCATTAATCTCGAAAAATAAAAAGATCTAGCTTACAAATCTCTAAAAACTTACTTACAAAGGAAAGTGTGAAGTTAATTCTTTCCCTGTTTGCCTGGCTTCACCCTGTGTGCCACTGCCACATATATACAGATCAAGTATACATGCCCAAAGAAGGCAATAAAGAGTGTAACGAGAGTTGCTGAGTACTTGTCGCCATAACTTAATTCTGCCAAACTTGGAGAAGTTGCCACCAAGTTTGGCAGAGGTTTGGCGAGAGAAATGGCTCAATAACAATTGAAAGTGAGACTCCCTCTCTCTCTCTCTCTCTCTCTCTCTCTATATATATATATATATATATATAAACTTCGGTTGCTTTATTGTGTTCTTTCCCTCTGTGATAAAGTCAAGGACATGGGGGAACAAGAGGGCTATGTACCATGGATTTTAGAAAGGTAACGTGCTTGCAAGAATTTTTCTATTCTTGATTTGGTTTTTTAAAAAGTTTTTATGTTCTTTTCGTTGTAATCTTGTTTCTCAATATTTGATTTTTATCTTTATTATGTTTAATAACGTTAAATTTTATTGTTAGATAATATGTGTCAAATAATTTTTTTTTTCATTCCTTTCTTCTTCTTTTTTTCTTTTCTTTTTTTTTTTTTAAATTAAAATAGGAAATAATTCTAAAAAACTAAGATCCTAAAAATATGAAAAAAAAATGCCAAAAATCATAAGAAGACAAACTATTATATATATATGAAAATAAATGAAGAGTAAAAAATGAGGAACCATATTATTTGTAAAGGATGAGGTTTCTTGAGAATTGATCAAATAACTAATTAATAGATCAGTTAAAATACATAAAGATAGTATTATGACTTATAAAAAAAGACTCAATCAACCAAGCAGAATAAATATAAGTAATGAAAAACATAAGAAGGAGAACTTATAGTGCTACTAAAGTACAAGTCTGACTATTAACAGATATGTTAAAAGTCTAAATATTACAGCGCAATCAAATAGAATAAATATAAGTAATGAAAGGTGTAGAAAGAAAAACTTACAATCTTAACAAAGCATGAATTAATTATTCGATAAATACATGTTCAAAGTCTAAATAATACAGCCCAAATTGGTTTGTATGTCTTATTCCACTTTTATATATAATAAAATCAGTTAAATGAAAGAATTTTATTTTGGTGTAAAAAAAGACAAACACTATTGCTAATATTAGGACAACTTTTTCGTTGAGTTTGATCAAGGATGTATGCACTTGAAGAATGTTCTTTACTGGCCATTAGTCAATTTTCCATCAGCAAAGACTTGGAAGATGGCGGTCCAGATGGTGGTCCACCATGACCATCAATTCAGTGTGGATTCCTTTGCCTGTATTAAAATTCGATTGATGGATGTAATCTTTCTTGAAAAATGGGTTCAGGTTGAAGAAAACGATGGAAAGCCAATCATAGCGAATAGTTGGCACATAAAAAAATGAGGATTAAACTAATTATATAGCGGAAAATGATCTGAATCTTGATTTCCCTCTTCTTGTAACTTTTGCAACAGCACCAAGAGAAGTTTCTTGTTTTTTAGTGCAGGGGCTGTCGGCTGATTTTTCTTCTTTTTAATTAATATAAGCTTTAATTTTTTGTTAAATTCAATATCTCTAATAATTATGTACGTTGCGGGTGTAAAAATCTGTTAAATCATGAATCATGTAAACCTTGCAGAAACGATTGAAATTACTTGATTTAAAGATTAAAAAAAAACAAGAAAGATCAATTCCAAACTAATTGTGTTTCGACCAACAATACATTGAAATCAGGGAACCTTTCAGACCTTACTTGAAGTTTAAACTTAATAGTCCATTTCCCCCAACTATATTATATTGCAAGTGGGGTGACAGGAAAAGCGTATCGGCATTTCAACATCCAATTCATTCCCTTGTGGACTAAACAAAAAGAAAGGGATATTGAAGGTAGAGGGCAGCATTTAGGCACCTCCACTAACCCACACATAATTCTATTGGAAAGCTCCCCCTCGGTCAAAACATAATCAATATGTCAAGCCCCTATCTCCAAACACGCCTCTCTTCTTATACATTTTTCGTACGAGTGAAATCTTTTGGGACATCAACTTCAATGGAATATAGCCATTGCCATTAGCCAAAGAGTAAATTCATGAAGGACAGCTAACATGTCATGTTTGAGTATAAATGAGTGAGCATCGTGCATTGTGTCACAAATTCACGCGTTATGGTCTTATGGTTGCCGTGTGGAGAGGCACTCGCATATATCTTACATAAATTCTTCATGTAAATTGATGTTTTTTGAATCCCTATATGATTCACAAACATCTATTTATATGAAATTTTAGTATAATTTATGTTTTAAAATACTTTTTCGAATCTATATACAATCTTCTTTTTGAAAGAGAAGAAGTGTTTTTGCTAGTGAGTTGAGTTAGAATCCAATTGGTTATCCAATGATAAAATGCACAAGAGGATGCTGCAAGAAAAAAAAAATGAATCCATGATTTCTTTTTTGCTAGGTGGAGCTGACTCATGTCATTCATCAACGACCGAAGTCTTCTCGCTCCTGTTAAAGAGAATGTTAAGAAATGATTTCTCCAAATATGCTAATAATGCCTCTAATCATGTATGTTTGATCCAAATTAGAACCTTCCAATTTGACTTTTGCCTGGTATGCAAGACCTAATTACAGAATGCTTCGTGTCTTTCACCTCTTCGATCTTTATTGCATGTAACTTGCTTGTGCTGTGACACACGACTAAAACAATGTTTCTTTGAAGGCATTATGATAACCATGAGCTGAATCATGTTCTATAAACAAGAATGATGGAAATTGGAAATTTCCAATTTATTATTCTCACCAAAAGAATTGGTAAACACCAGCAGGAAAGGACAGGAGGCATTACAAGTAGAATCAGAAAATACCAGCCACCTGATTGTCATGCCTGTTTTACATATTCAATCCACCTGTACCACATTTTGTAAGGTGTATTTAAAATATTGATGGTAACATTTTTCTAATTTTTTTTTTTAAAAAAAAAGGTATACGGAGGTCGAAATGATTGGAAATTTTGGTGTCAGAAGTTTCTACTGAAACCAAAAAACAAAAGGCCGAAAAGGATCTGTCGCTTTTCAAATTAAAGATACAATGAATGTGAAGCAGCAAGGAGGGCAGCTCCAATGCCTGAGCCATCATTTGCGTGCTCAATCATGATGGTTTTCGACACTTCTTCTCCAAGCAATTCATTGAGGGTATTCTCCAAGCACTTGCTGTATTCGCTGTAGTGTTCGTATAATCCACCATCCATGGCTATCACCGTTCTCTGTTCATCCCCATCTTTGACAATGTCTCTTCCTATTTTCTTCAGGATACCCAAGATCCCAGCAGCTGCAAGACGGGACCCACGTGTTGCAACAATGTTGCAAAGCTCAACCACGACCTTTCTGGTTTGAAGGGAGGTATTGGATATCTGAAATAGTGGGAAAATGATAGTAAATAAATACGTGTATAGATACTTGACTAGTTAGGCAAGTAGTTGATGCAAATTTCATCGTTCCAGAACTTCTGATAGGGAAAAAAAATGGTTCCTTTCGATCTTTCTACAGTGTAGAAGGTGCCACTTCAACTCAATTTCTACATGTGAATACATGTAAGACCAAATTTTTTGTGTGCATGGATACATTATCGAGCAATTTGCCCACCTGAGATAGATACTATTGAAATAATCATAATGTCGGTGCCTGCACTTAATCAAACTTCTATTTGAGTCCATATTTCAATTCTTTTCATTTGAGTTATTGTGATCTTCAAAATGAACAATCGAGTACACCTTTTCCAAAAACACCTCCTTAAACATTGCCATATCCAGGTATATTCAGAACAATTGTATTTGATTGATTGATTTTTCTAGGTAAAGTGAGTCAAATAGAAATTATTTTTGATGAAAATACATGCATTGAATTTGTGATTAGTTAGAAAATTATTTAGTCAGAACTCAATCTTCTATACAGAACCTGCCTAGCTAAATGGGAGCTTTCTTAAAAGATATCAAGGGCCCTTTTTCATGTGCAGTACAAAGTATGTTTCTCGAGAAGGAATGTAACTGCAAAATTTTCTGTAAGAGATAAGGCAACATAAATGGAAATTTGAGTCCATTACAAAATAAAAAAAGCAACATGGATTTGAAAATAATAGAAACATATAGAATAGGTATCAGATAAAGAGATACCTCCAGGACATCCTTCAATTTTTTCTCAACCAATATAAGATCAGAGGATGCATCATGATGCATTGCCGACATGTCAGGTGTCCTGCATATTCAAAACTCGAAATGTGACTATTTTCCCACTCCTTTCTCCTCACAAACGCATATAGATTCTAATAAATATTCCTGTCATGCCTAGGTACATTGACAACCAACAAATGTTTCTCATACTATAGGATAAGCATCCCGATTAATATTCCAATATGTGGTATTCATTTGCTCTCAAATATGCATGTAGACTACAACAAATATGCTTACGATGCTTGGGTACATTCTCAACCATAATAAATATGCCTCGCATTATTTGATAAGCATACTAACTGTTGATTGCATAATCAAATATTCAGCTAAACTCGCAACATTACATCTTAAATTGCCACAAGTTGTGTCACATCAGACAGACACAATGCTGCACCTAAATGATATTGAAGGATCGACCGACCAATTTACTCTAAAAGAAAAAAATTTGATTGATCATTCGAAAGCTTTGATATATAAGCCACATAAAATTGTGCAAAGGAAGTTCAAAAACTCAATGCCCATCATTGAGAATTCTTCAATTCCTCTGCTAATATTGAAACTAACTCTCTATCTTAATGAAAAATTAAAAACGAATGCAAAGTAATGAGTCTTTCAAAAATAATATCCTTCTCTCGCCAGCACTATTTTTTTGCCTTTCACTAAACAGCAAATCCAACAAGTTGCCAATGAACATTTACAATCATCATATCAGTTTGTGGTTCTGGTAGTTAATGACAAACGTCATTAAATGTCCTTCAGATTCATGTAAATAGGTCATCTTGAAATAAATACTTTAGGTACCCAGTCCCAAATGGGAAAAAACCACATGCCAACTCCTTTTTGAACATTTCTTTTACTGTAATGAACTCACTCTTCCCGTTCATACAGTTGATATCAAAACTATTCACAGTTAGCACATGCATAGTTTTATCTAAGAACAAATTTTGGATCACGAAAGAAATTTCATTTGAAATGATGAACTAGAGAGATGGACCCAAATCTGACAGAATCATGCTATAGTCCACAAGTAATAATAGCTCAAAATTTAAGATGGTAGCAATCATAACGGTTTAGTTGGAAAGTTCACTTCCACGTTCCTGATAATTCTCAAATTTGTTCCTCCTACATTCTTCCTGAAATAAAATTTCTTGACAATGTCTTCTAATTTTTTGGAACCACAATAACATGGTTTGTCTCATTCGTATATAGCTTATTGACACATAACTAACAGGTAGAGCGCATTGGATTTACCTCAGTATGAAGGGAGTTTTGAGTTTTGGAGGAACAATGTCACCAAAGAAAGCAGCTTCTTCAGCCATCTTTAGTAGAACTCTACGTACTATTTCACCCAAGTACATACCAGAGATTAACTTCTCAAAAATCTGTGAAAATAAAACAAAAATCATTGAATAGATAACATGAAAGTATGATTTTTGCTATACATGCAAAAAAAGTAAAAAAAAATAAAAAAATCGATGGACTTGTATAACTTAAAATTGAAAATTACCTGCTCACCGGGATTTAAACTCTCATCGTCCATTGCATGATCATACTCAGTTAGGGGAAGATGAGATGACTTAAAGTTGCCCCACTCCATGTTTATAACCTATATGGCAATATTGCAGCACTTCAATAATTTACTCTTAGAATTAAAATAAACCAAGAACAACAAACTTTGCTAACCATCTCGCCAGATTTTGGCAGATCGCCATGCCATTTTGGTATTGCTGGTGCACTTTCCACATACGCAGCATTAGATCCAGTACCTAAAATCACAGCAGCAGCAACATCCTTGTTGGAATATTTACCTCCGGCTAGTGTTCCAACCGTATCATTGACCTAGTAGCAAAACCCTTTTTCAGGTATAAAATGAAGAGGAAAAAAAATGGAATACCTATTCCATACCAAAAGCAAAATCATTAAATAGCAGATAAAAAAGAAAATACAAAAAAGAAGATCCTATCAGTTGTCATGGAGGAGTTCAGATTTAAATTACCAGTGCTGACACACGCATATCGAGGCCTTGTCTTTTCATGGCTCTAGTCAATTCTGCCACCACATCTTCGCCAACCTATCACCCAGAAATCAAGATGAGTACTGTTAGGAGTCCCAAACTCAAATTACTAAACTAATTACAGAGATATCCTGGAGACTTATGGGACATCCACTGACTTAGTTTTGGCTTGAGTGCTTCTAACAGTCCAGTAATCCAAAAACTAATAAGCCATTGAAATATAAAGAACACAAATCTGAGATAAGCAATTAGTACTAACTGCGTCATCTATAGAGAAGCCTTTTGTCCACCTAACAAGGGTCCCAGAAGCAATGGATGTTTGCATGACAGGGAATGAGAATGTGAAACCTAACTCTCTGTGTTTACCAGGAGGAAGTTCAAATTCTTGACCTTCTTGAGCAACAAATTTTGCAAGTTCTGCTGCAATATAGTCAAAAAGTGCCTGAAATGGCAATCATATTTATTAGTTGAGAGACCTTAAGTATCAAATGACTATAATAGCATTAGAAGTGGTTTGAAAAGCACAGACTTACATCTGAAGTCCCAATCATCAAATTTGGTGGAATTGACACCTCAGTGAATTCTTGATTAACAAGACCAACATCCTTCCCCCCAACTGCACCCTCAATACACGAAAGTTTGTTCCACCAAGATCCAACGCATAAAACAATCCTTTCTCGTCACTGTCACAAGAATAACAAAAAATTTAAAATCTTTTCTTGTATATTTAAGCAAATCTTCTCAGAAAGAATAAATCTTTCCTTCTTCGATACATTTTCCCACTTGTTACTCGATTAAAAAGGGTTTCAATGTTTATCCACATGGCAATGTATAACTTATGTCCTGTCACTGTACCTGCATTCACATCTAGCCCGACATCCTAACTGAAGGTGATATCACACCATTGAACACAACACTTGCAAGTTGTTATCGCCAAACAATGATCCATGCAAAGAAGGTAATTCCAGATTTCATGTACTCGGCACAAGTTAAGAGTCATTTGATTAAAATTCAACATTAATCAATAGACAAGAATTAATTGAAAATCATCCAGAAGAAAACTCATCCCCGCATCAGAAATCATTGTCGAGCTTAAATATCACTCCAGATGTCATAAAATTAAAAACCTAAATAATCTACTAGGGAAAAAAAAGTAGAAATGAAAGAAACAAGGAACTCAAGTTCCAATGCATCAAAGGGCCATACATCCAATTAAGTATAACATCACCTACAATGGAAGAAAAATACGCCAAGTATTCGCGTCAAATAGGACATTTTATGTGATTGCCTGATGCCACTTTACATATAAAAAGAATCAAATAGACATAAGTAAACAAATCACTTGAATTGTATAAATATATATGTCAACAAACACAATTTGAGACAAATTGGATCTCATATACACATTTCAGACATTAGCATAAACTCACACAAACTTAAATGAAAATTCAAAGAAGAGGAAATTAAGATATACCCAGTAGGCAAATTATCGACATAGCTGATAAGCATCTTAAGCTTGCTGCCACCTTCAGAGGCAAGGCCAGCATGCATCTCAACAACCATGGCATCAGCCACCTGCTTCAATTTCCCGATCGGAGTCCCACATTTCTCCTCCATTTCCTTGACTATCTCCATTGCCTTAGCCCACCTCTTGTCCCTCTTCATTTTCCTCTTCATCACTGCCGCCGCCGCCACAGCCCCTGCCACCGCAGCCACACATACAACAGCCACCACCACCTTCTTCTCCATTGCAATCACCACCACCACCACCACCACTAAAAAGAAATGAGACCCAGAAACAAACACGGATAAAAAAAATTAAATCTTTTGAACAAAAAGAAGGCTCTCGCTTTTCCTTTTTTTAATTAGATTTTGATTCCAAGATTTAAGGGCGCTAGATGGATGTATCTTTCTTGATCACAAAAAATATCATGAATCTTTCCTATTATTATTACGTTTGTTTCTTTGTTTGTTTGCTTGCTTCCTTGGTTTATTTATTTTTGTTTTGGTTGGGTTAGGAAATTAGGATGGAGTGTGGTTCACTTAAAATTACTAGTAATAAATTTGGGCAACACCATACCGTACCGTACATGTGTTTCATGTGTATTATTTTTCTTTTATTTTTCCGTTTCACCAGAACTAATTACTACTTCGCTTCTTACTGGTCGTTTCCTCATCCAAAACGGTTGATTTGACCAAAAAGGATTTCGAAAAGGCTGTTTTGTTTGGCGCAAATCAGATCAAAATTTAGAGATTAACACTACTGACAATATGTCGATGCCAGGTTGCTCCACTGTTACGATGGAACCAGCGACACAAACTTACCAAGTCATGGCTTCAGGAAGACACAGCACCTTGTCCTTCCTTCCAACTAGCCGACGAAATGCTCTTCCATGCTAACCCAATATTTCGTAGGCCTTCTCCCATTTTTTTTATGGTCTAAAAACTTTGGTATCATATTGATTTGTTGGTCATAATTTTTTTTTTACCGTCAAATATCTTCATATCTACTTTCATAAATCTAGATTAAATTGTTCTTTGTTTAGATTGTGGAATTAATGAGAATTCTAATTCCCAATATTTGGTCTTTATTTCTAATTTTTTCCCTCTATTTATGCCATTTGTAAACCGTCTGGAGCTATCTTGTAGTGCGCTGATGTTTCTATCTTAATATTACAATATTTGGAAAAAAGAATCTCTTTTTTTCCTTTTTAATAACTGCGGCAGAAGGTGTATTTTATCAAACTGTGGCGTTGTTGAAACGCTACAATGGTGGTTTTAATGAGGTTGATTGTGATGGTTTGATTTCCATCTCCTCTTCTAAAGAAGACGAGGTCCAGTTTGTAATTTTTGATGGTTTGATGGCTTGACGTATTTTATTAACCAAAAAAATTAATGGAAAGTGATGGATTAGTATTGCCTGCATTATCTGAATTATTGTTCATTTAGATTTATTCATATTATTTATATATTATTTCTTTCATCATGTGATGATATTTTTAAAATATTTATTATGAAAGTTTTCGTGACATTATATTTTAATCATCCTTTTGTAAACATTGTTCTTTTTTTAATTCATAAATATTTTTATTTCATTTTAGTCGTTTTTTTTTTGTTTTATTTTGATCATTTTGATTTTTTTAATTAAAAATTTTAAGATAAAAAAATATTTAGAAAAAAATTTACAAAAAAAGTTTTTAACAAAGAATCCATTGATTTTGACATTTTTTTATACTGTTATAAATTTTTTAACTTTTTGGTATAAATAAATAAATAATGTTTTGAAAATTTATAAAAAATATATAGAATAATCAGTCAAATTCAAAATTTTAATTATAAAATTAAATGAATTTTTATTCAATGTTGATTTGATATATTTTGATATAAACACAATATAATACAAAACATTAAATTAAAATAATTTTTTAAAGATAATTTGATACATTCTATTCGATCCGTATGGCAGCACGAGTAAAAAAATTAGTACTAACAAAAATAACATCTTTTAAGTCTTGTTTGGTGTAGCAGCGGACGGTGGCTCTGGATTTGTTTGTTTTTCATTTTTACTGTTTTTTCCTTTATTGGATATATGGTGGTCATATTTATTGCCGAAAAAAGTTCTAAATTGGGTGTTTGATTAGCCAAAAAATGAGCTGGCAATGATCTATTGGGTTTACCTTGTTTTATGGTTAGATTCATGTGTGTTTGGGGAAAAAAATCATCGAGTAAAAGGTAAGTGAAAATAATAAGTTGATTAAAAATTAAGAATTACATTTTTTTCAACAAACAAATTCAATTTGCGTTTTATTTTTGAGTAAACGACTTTATTTGTTCTTATGTAACTAAACGAGTTTTTAAAATATCCATTATGTTTTAGTTGTGTTATTATATCTTTGAATCACATTTAATTCTTCAGTATGTATTTTGTAAAGTTTTTCTATTTAAATTGATATATATCTTTCATTTCAAAAATGCCTTTAATATATATATATATATATAATAATGGTTGAATAATTTTAAAATTTTCTCTCAAAACAGTTTGAGCAATTTTTTTTTTACTATATCCTTATACAAATCGATGGTATTTTTAAAATGAAAAATAAAATCATGTTAATTCTCTAATATGTATTTTTGTTTAAGTTTTTTCTATTTAATTTTATGAAATTATATATTTCATTTCAAATAGGCCCTGAGCTTTACCATAACATAATTTTAAATTTAAAAAATATTTATTTCTTAAAATTTTAATGGTTGAATAATTTTAAATTTTTTTCTCTCAAAACAATTTGAACAATTTTTCTACTATATCCTCGTATAACTTTGTATTTCTAGAATTAAAAATTAAATTATCTTAATTTAGGAGAAAAATATATTAAACTCATACTTTGTAAGGATATAATAGATATAATTAGAAACATGAAGATGTATTTTGAAACTTATTTATTCATGTAAGAACAAATTGAGTCATTTGCTCTTTATTTTTTATATTGAAAAATTTCTCCATACACCATAAAATTAGATAAATTATGGAGAAAAAAATATTAAAAACATGATAAAAATAAATGATTAATTAAGATTTTTCAAAAAAAAAAAAGGAAGCTTATTGAAACTTAAAAATGTCACATTATTAGTTATATTATTAATTGTAAAAACGAAATAATAGAAATTTTGATGAAAGTTAAAGGAGGAATCTGATGCAAAGGAAATCTTAGAGTAGAAATGGAGAAACCTTCAAACCTCACGGGGGGCAAATTAAAATTTAGCCGATTTTTAGTTAGAGAAACACACGTCCGCTGTTTTCAAACACACCAAAAACTGTTAAACTAAACCTCTCCTTTTCTCTTCTGCAAGCTTCTAAAACCCTAAAATTCTCTCTACTCATATACAATGACAGAACCGAGTCAGCTGACTCAGCACATTGAATCGTTTGTTGACTCATCGCGCTCCTCTATTCAGCAGGTTCAAGGCCTTCTCTACTCTCACCCGCACAATATCCCCAGCCTTGAACTTTTACCTTTTCAATTTCGAATTTTTAGCCTTTTAAATTCCTCAAATGGCTGCTTCACATATGCATAAGAAGCTAAATTGTGCAATTCTTTTGTTGAATATTTAAAACCAAAATGTAAAAAACTAAAAAATTCAGATATTTTTCTAAATATTAGGTTTGGATTTGCTTGTAATGTAATTAATTAATAGCTTGTGTGTTAAGTACAGGCTGCAAGTTTGGATGCAATAGTTTCCCTCGTGAAGAATGATGTAGTAACTATATCATCACTGGTATAATTCTCTTTTTGTTTAATTACCATGTTTTTCTTAGTCATGGTTGGTTTTTTGGCGAATCACTGTATCGATGCTTGTGTTCTGCTTAGGTTAGGGAGATGGAGATGTATCTGACTACAACGGATAACATAATCCGTGCACGAGGTACATTTTGTTATTGTAATACTTTATTTTTGCTTATGTTGATTGATGTGCACATAGATTACGTGAAATCAATTCTTTCTGAAAATAGGTTCTTAATCAAGTTATATGTTATATGTTTATAATGTGGGGACAATGTTTCCATTTTGGAGCATGGCTACAGCCTTACGGGGTAAACTTTTGTGATTGTTTTTTGGTGATGGGTAATTTAGTTTAACTTCAAACCATGCTGGTAAAAGTTCTGTTATCCTCTTATTTATTTATTTTGAAACACCATACTCTGTGAAGCTCCGGGAATAAAATTTTTCTCTTTCAGGCATCCTTCTGCTTGGAGAAGCACTTGAATGTCTTTCATCAAAGCCACTGGATGCTGCTACAATTCATATTTTGGTAGCATTCTTCAAAGAGCGACTGGTGAGTTTGTATTTTGCAATGTATATGCATGTACATGGGCGAGGCTTCAGTACAGAATAATCTAACTTTATGTTATATTCCAGGTGTTTATGGCTTATCTGATGTTTTTGTTTCTTTTTACCCTGTAAATTAGTTGCGCTCCTTTGATATTATGCTTGAAGAAGTTTCTTCTTGGCTTGGATATATTGCATGAAGTCATGTTCTTTTTAATTTTTATCTCAATACACTTGACTGGTAATCCGGGAGTCCCATTAGATAATACATGAGATGATGAAAAGTAGAAGTCAAATGAAGTATTTTTAAGATTCACTTATTCTGGAAACATTCTTGCCGTTGTTGTCATGTGGTTTTCTTGGAAGATTTTTTCCTAGGTTTAGAGTCACCTTCCTGGTGAGTTTTGGTGTTTACTTTGAATATCTTTGTGGTCAGAATGGAGTCATTCTAGTGAAATATGTTTGCAAGTGCAAATGCTTGGTTGAAGGCTGCAAGCTTTTTTGGTGCAATACAAAATCGTTAGAGCTGATTATAATATTAGGAAGATTTGTTTATGCTGGTATTTTTACTGATTACAACTGCAGAGATGTTCTCTACAGTTAATAGGATTTTCTAAATTGTTGTGATCACCAAGTCTTCCGGAGGTTATGTAATGCTGAATTTGTGGTTTATTTTATTTACAGTGTTTCTTGTCATATATTCAGGTCCAGTTAGTGCATTCTTCAATTATCGCCTCACTTTTCTTTTCATCTGTAATTATTTGATGGTCCATACCCACACTCATTACTTTGAGTGCTGATTAGTAGGTGTTTACAATCTAAACCTTTTTCATTCTGTTTATTTTGGCTGGGTAGCAATTAACTGTATTATTTATTGTATTGCATCAAAATTATATAGATGATATTATCCTTATATCAGGCAGATTGGAGAGCTTTACGTGGTGCACTTGTTGGTTGTTTGGCATTAGTGAGGAGGAAAAGTGGTGGTATGGTCACTGGCAGTGATGCCAAAGGAGTTGCCGAGTCTTATTTGCAAAACTTGCAGGTTCAGTCTTTAGGACAGCATGACAGGAAGGTAGGATTGCCTACACTCTACACATGTAATGCTAATTCCAACACTTCCAGAAGCTTACAATAACTTTTTTCCTGGATTAAACATTGCACCATGTTTTTTTTCCCCTCCAATTCTTTAGCGAATTTCTTTGTGAAATTTCAGCTTACCTTTAGATTCTTCTTGCAGCTTTGCTTTGAACTTATGGAATGTCTGCTAGAGCACTATCCCAGTGCTGTTGCTTCTCTGGTATTTCTTCAGTCTCACTTTCCCTCATCTCATTCTTTCCAGTTTCAAGTGAATGACTGTCTATATCTTAATGAGTCCAATGAAACAAAAAATTGTGTAAGTAGGGAAGATGCCAAATTTTGTCTCCTGAATGATGGCCTTATGTCATTGTTATTTATCAGTGGTTGTTGCTTGGTCGAATGGTAAGTGCTGGGTTTGTCCCATGACATGTTTCCTGAAAAAAGTGTTGAATAGTAGGATTGTCTCTGATTTTTTCTCTTGCGACCTACTTTGGTGTAGTTGTAACTGGGCAATGCCTTTTTCTGTGTTGCAGAAAAATATGAGAAGCTGAATTGCATGGGTTTTGTTGGGTTTAAAATGATCTGTATATAAGTAGCATTAGCTATTCAGGGTTTGTTAATCATGAACCATAACCATGTAACTCATTAGCTTGTTTAAAACAAAGTTAGTTATGCCTGTGGAATTCATTGTTATGATGGAGCTTTGTTCAATACACTGACACTATAGATGCAACCCACTGATCTTATTGCACGGTATTTATCTGAAATCTTGAGTATATTGGCATTTAAAATATGATTGATAGAGTAGGTCCTCATGTTATCCTAAATACTGGCTTGTCTGAGTTGTTTCGAGCTACTTTCGATAATATCTTTTGAGTTGCTGGTTAGCGGCCATTTCTATGCAATGACAAAAACCTTACGCTTGCAAACACAAAATTAGTCCTGATAGCAGCAACTTTGTGCAAGCTGAGGCTTAGGTCCCTCTAAATTCTACTCTCAGAACCGCCCACCATGCCAAGTAATGACCTTTTGTACCATCTTTACAAATGGGATTGCTGTTGGTATTGCCATTAATTGATGTAACTCACAATAATTTTACACTGTGCATATGACTTGAGAGACTCTTATCCTGCTCTCTCTCTCTCTCTCTCTCTCTCTCTCTCCTTACTGTCACAATCCCATACCCAACACATCCAACATACCTACAGACACATACACACCACTCGCCCTCTATCGCCCAGTGTTTCAATTGATTTTTTTTTATCATATCTCATACTTCTCATTTTCTGATATGATCGATTTTGTTGATTTTGGTTATAGGGAGATGAACTTATTTATGGAATTTGTGAAGCTATTGATGGAGAGAAGGATCCTCAATGCCTAATGCTAGCATTTCACATTGTAGAGGTTCTAGTGCAAGTATTTCCTGACCCTTGTGGTCCCATAGCAAGTTTTTCTGGTGATCTTTTCAGCATTTTGGGCTGTTATTTTCCCATTCACTTTACACATGTAAGCTTAATACATACCAATCATGTTCTTTTGTATTGACCAGTTGTCTGGATTTGATTGTTTTTCACTTCCCTAAGCCATTTTTTTTTCCTGTAGTACTTGCCTTATTAAGGGTCTCAGAATTTGCGTTGTGTCTATCTGAATGTAATTGTATATACACTGATATTCAAGGAGCAATTTTACACCTTCCCTTATAAATGACAAGCGATGCATGTCTTAGGCGTATTTGTTGTTTTACTTATGTAATAAACTCTTTTTTCCTGTAGTTAATTCATGGGGATGCTTAAGTGTCTGCTTGAAGTTTAGGAGTAACTGCTGTTTCATTCATCATGACATGGGTCTTTATTTTGAGAGGGTTCAGAAGCCTCTTGTATTAGCTTTGTTGTAGAGAGTACCTTCATCTTTACTTATGTAGCCATAATTGTTTTTTTAGTGTTGGATGAGATGTCTGTAATAGTGATTTTCCTTTATTGTAGAGTAGTTTCTGGTTCTGCCAAATGTTAGTGTTGTTGAGTACCATTTTACTTGCAGTCACTCGTATATTTGTCATTATGGTTATGCTGATGCATAAGGTCATAGTTCTAGATCTCATAACAATGCCAAGCATCGTTTTATTTGGAAATGGTATGTCATTCATGTTATTTTCATCGGCACCCAATGCTGGCCATAAGATAATTTCCAAGGAAAAAGAAAGTAGAATGTGATTGCTTTCTCATCTGGTTCCCACACTACAACAGGACTATCTAATAGCTTCAGTAGTTCAACTACTGTTTCTTATCAATACTTTGAATTATGCTAAAGTCTAAGGTATACTTGTACATGTCTTTATGAATTTGATGCTCAAGTTTTCAAAAATCCCATCTCTTGTTAATAATAAATCAACTTGGAATGGATTTTGCTTAAGCTTTCAGATGCATGCAAAGTACTGCATTAGGTGGTAATGTCTTCTAACTCAACTCAACCGCAGTGTATTTTGTTGGGAAGGTGGTTGTGTTCTATGAGGGAGGGCAACTCCTGCTTGCTGAACCATTAAAAAAAAAAAAAAAAAAGGAATAAGAAAAAAAAATTAGATTATGCTCTACGTTGAGAAGGGATACTAGGAGCAGGGAATTCATTCAACTTGTATGATGTTTTAGATACTTTGGAATCAAGTCATGAAAACATTTGGAAGTTTGAAATGCTTGAAACACTTGACAACTGATTGCTGGGTTTTTAACTTTTGGTTCTGGTTCAGTTGCTGTTATTGTGGAATTTAAGTTAAATGATTGAACTTATCAGATGTTTAAAATCAAAAACATCAATTTGAGTCATACTACCATGTTAAGGTTTGTCTTCCATCAACCTTTGGCATACTTTGAAAGAGGAATTAGTTTCTGGAAATTTGTGTAGAACAGATGGTATTCTGAAACTGTGCTCGATATGCATGCCCAGAGGGGAAAGGAAATAATGTAGCTCATGGGGTTCTTTCCATCTCGAGCACTGCCATGGATTTGTGAGATAAAGCAATGTGTCGGTGGCCTTTTGGGGATAAGGACAGATTTGAGCTCATATGGGGTGCAGTGGAGGCTTCATGAGCGTAAATTCATAAATAATGAAAAAAAAAACTTCAATTTGGATACTTTTGGTGCTTTGGCACCATCAATAACTTATGAGCCTTGATACAGAAGCATAAGTTGTATTATTATATCTCCTGTTGCTCTACTTGTAAATGTGGATGAATTTGAACTTATTCTGCTGCTCATTCTTTATATTTATACGGTCCTGCATTATACATTTATGATAAGCATTGTTTTATTTCTTTGCATTTCCAGCCAAAAGCTGAGGATGCTGAGGTGAAAAGGGATGATCTTTCAAGGGCTTTAATGGTACGTACAGCTGTCTCTTTTAAACTTTTCTCTCTATTTGGAGATTTCATGTTTTTTTTTTTTTTGCTTGAAATTTTCTTTGCCGTATTTCTATGGAAGTAAATCTTATATATTATAGGCTGTGAGGTAGAGCTGGTTTCGTTATATCATCTGTTTCAAAGTTGGTAATGGTAAAGTACTTTTGATACAAGCCTGCAGGGGCCAAAGAATGTAAATTATGGGCAGGTTCTTGTTACTTAAAGCTTTATTCTTATCAAACACATGGTGTAGGTCATGCCTTGCCCAGCCTTTGAGGCTCTTCTTGGACATTTCAAGGTTTAGATAGTATTTTGCAGTGAAAAGGCACTGTGTGTGTTGTATACAGATGCATTTGCAGCTGCATAGATTTGGAAGGAGCAGAATTTGTGGATATTTAATGACCATTCTCTTCTGAGGCAATTACTGTGGGGTGGATAGTATTCTTAGCCACATTGTGGAGTTCTGTTTCTTGGGCTTTTGTCAGACTCTCTTTAGCTGTTGGATGGCAGGATTAGTAGCCTTGATGTATCTAGTTTTCGGTTCTTAATTTACAGAGGAGGTCTCCTTCCCCTAATTTTATATGCAATCTCTTCTGTTTCTAATAAAATATCCTCTCATAGATTTTTTTTTTTAAAAAAAGGCATGTCTTGGTTCTTGGAAGATGTTATAGTTTCAAAATTGCTGTTCATATCACTAATGTCAATGTTGTTCTCTGCCTTTGGAAGAATAGTTATGTGCTAGAATTGTGTGTCCAAGACAAGCTTTGTGAAATTGTATCCCCAATGTCGTAAAGTGCATGCATTTATGAATTTTGAGGAAGAGATTGTTTTTGTACGGGTTTATTTTTCTAATTCCCATTCCTAAAATATGAAAACAGTGAGAGATTAAAAGAAATGGATCATGGTAAAACAAAAACATGATGTCATGCTCAAATAAAGCAAATCTTACATGTCTTGTGGTAGTTAATTATGCAATGATGTGCATAAAAATAGCATATGGTGGGGTTTATTGATGCTTTTGGCTGTTGGACTATTGTTGACTGGAGTTTGTCTAATTGAGAAAGGAGACAAAACCAAATCCTGGAAGGGGGTTGAATTCTTTCCATTTGGAAGATATGTTTTCTGTTTACAAGGTGAAACCAAGTGCATTATTCCTCAGAAGTGTGGTTTAGAGAAACGTGATTTGCAACTTAAAACTTTTAATTAAATGAGAGTGCTCCTACAAACTGATGTGTTAAAAGAGTGCACATACTTCCATCTTAGTTTTCAATGGTGTTTTATAAGGGTGTTTTTTTTTTTTAATTAACTACCAGAGCTCATGCTGAATATGTGACCTCTCCTGGCTGCATTTTATATTCTCTTTTCTTTGCAGCTTGCATTCTCATCCACACCTCTTTTTGAGCCATCTGTCATTCCATTGCTTCTTGAGAAACTTTCTTCCTCCCTTTCATCTGCAAAGGTCAGTTCCACTTGACTTCATTAAATTTTAGCAATTGATGATAATGCAGTTAGTCCACTGCTTAGTCAAATGTGTGTTATTGTTTTCATTTTCCCTCCCCATTTTCTATTTTTCCTTTTCAATATAAAACTAGAAAATATTTTCATTTTGTTGAATGCAAAACTTTTTTCATATGGTGAATTTTGACAGCATACACAAAGTTGCTTCAAAATGTGTAGGGTACATTGAAAAAAAATTATAAACAGAAGTCTTATTAGTAAATTTCTTTGTTTTCCATGTGGTAAATGTAGGTAAATAAGGTTGGTTTTTATGAGGAAAATGTTGAAAACAACTTTGATAGTGTTCTTCAAAACCCAATATAAACTTGGAAAACTAGAAAACAAGATTTGGAATTTTCTGTTTTAAAAAATATAATATTTGAATAATATACTTCTATTTTTACTTCTCCATAACTTTCAAAAAAGGTCCTTGTTTTCGACAACTGTAGAATGCATAGATATGAATTCTGTTTATGCGTTCCCAGGTTGATTCCTTAAAGTACATTAGCCATTGCACACCAAAGTATGGAGCAGAAAGAATGGCAAAACATGCTGAAGCTATTTGGTCTTCACTGAAAGATGCAATATACACTTCAGGACAATCATTTGTGTTATCCTTTACCCCAGAATCACTAGGTGGTCTAGACTCTGAGGAGAATGAAATAGCAGCTGAAGCACTGGCTCTACTGGAAAAGGTTGTTCAACAAAATAATGATTTGTTCTCAAGTATGATTGTTGGTGATGAAGAAATAAATATGGTTTTGAACACTATCACTGGTTATCAGAGTTACAAGGACATTCCCTTGCAAAGCAAGCAGAAACTATATTCAGTGGGTCGTATCCTTTATGTTTCTGCAAAGGCTTCTGTAGCTTCCTGCAGTAGAGTTTTTCAAATTTTCTTCCCCCGCTTGATAGAGAGCATGGGGCTTCCAGTTGTGAATGGGTCTGGGACTTGCTCCTTTAATGACGACTGCATAATCTCCAAAAGACCTAATTATGGATCCCTTTATCTCTGCATTGAACTTCTTGGAGCATGCAGAGATTTGGTCATCGCAACAGCTAATCCTGCATCACAATGTGTTTCTGCAAATGAGACATGGTGCTGCTTGATTCAGAGCTTTTCTACCTCCTTAAGCAAGATTTTCAGTTCTATCCTGACAACAAGGACAGAAGAACCTGCTCATGATGCGGATATGTATCTTGGAGGTATGTGCTTTGGGTTGCAGTGCTATTGAGGTGCACATTGTTTGGATTTGTGTTTCTGTTTTAAATTGCAAGTTTTTGGATATTTCTCAATAAGCTTGCCTTGGGTCGTCTACCAGCATGAGTCATTGATTGTAACTTTGGAACAAATGGAAATCTTGTGTTTAGGGTACCTAAATCTGGGTACAAGTAGTTGGACTTAGGAGTGTGTAATGTGAATTTTATTTGATCCTGAAATCTTCCTATTGTTGATTGTTGTAGTGCCTGAACCCATTCTTTACCTATGGGTGAGCTCAAGTGTCAACTTTAGGAACTTATTTTGCAAGAGTTGGTTTCCCTTTGGATCTTATAAAAATCAAGAAGTAAAGGAAGCCTTTCTGTTCATGAACAAGAAAATATAGTTTACTATAACTACAGATAATATACCTCTCCTTTCCCTAATTGTTTTTTATTTCCAAACAGAGCTTTAGAGTAGGAAGTTTTTCCCAAAGCATGGATCTGGCTGATGCACCTGGACATGCATTATGCGTCCAAGATGCCACCCACTCACCAATAGTCTGCCATTTTCAGGAAGGAAAACATGCTTGTAGTACCTGTGCTAGACATAAGTATCCCAGCCTTTTTTTTTTTTTTTTTTTTGTGGTTTTATATGATGAAAATGTGGACATGTTACATCTCCTGGAAATAGACTAAGTAATAATATAAAGTACCTTAGATTTTGAGAAAAATGTTGTTTTCATTCTTTGCCTTTCATTAGTTGCTGTTTTGATTCTCAGCACAATTGTTGACTAGTTACAGGAACTTAACATAAGAAATTTTGATTGCATTCTTTTCTATTTTTTTTTAATTGATGTGCAGTGAAGGGTTTGCAAATTCTAGCTACATTCCCTGGAGGCTATTTACTAGTATCAAAATCTACTTGTGATAGTATTTTGATGACCTTCATATCTATTATCACTATTGATTTCAACAAGACATTGCTGTGGAACCTGTCGGTGAAGGCACTGGTGCATATTGGCTTGTTTATTCATGGTAGCAATGAGTCAGAGAAGTCAATGAGCTATATGGATATTGTTGTTCAGAAGATTGTTTCATCGATATCATCCGATAATCACAATATGCCATTTCCACTCCAACTGGAAGCCATCTCTGCCATTGGCACCAGTGGGATGATATATATGCTGAAAATTGTTACTGGGTTGCAAGAAGTTATATGTGCCAATCTAGCTGAGATTTATGTGCGTATGTTCAACAATCTTTTCAACATAAGAGCTCAAGGAATGTCCCCATCGAATGAACAAGATGATAGTTGAACACCCATGTGCATGTTTTCTTTTTAAGTGCACTTACAATGCTGAAAAAAATGTCTCTTCTAAATTCATTGAGTAATATCCATGGATTTGATTTGAATTGTGCCAACACTAGCACTGGGGACATTTCATTGGGGTCTTCTGTTAGTTTTAGTTTTTTCCTCCCTACAATCTGATTTTCATATCTGGACAATAAATCTGATGGTGCAAGTTTCTATTATGCTTCCATACAGGTTCAAGGAAATGTGAAATCAGCGAAGGTCGTAATTCAACTTTTGGAATGTTATTCTAATGAGTTGCTTCCATGGTATAACATCTCCACCCTGACCCTGACCCTTCCTATCCTTTTTTCTTAGTTCAGTATCTGTGTTTGTATCGTTTCAAACTACAATCTGTTACAAATTTTTTGTTGCAATAATTTGTTTTATTGTCTTAGTGGGTTGCTTTTTCACATCAGAGGAACCTTTGATTTAAGAAGGTGAAATGGTTATCTTCAACTAACTACCCTCTTTCCATTTTGTGTGCTAAAAGCTTATTGCAAAGATGTATTCCTTTTCTGAGACTCCATTTCCTTTTTTTGGGGTGGGGGCTGCACAGGGGTTTGGTTAGCAATGGGATGAGGTGGGGGTGCGTATTTGTTGTTCTCTTTTCCTGCTGATGTGGAGTTTTTTCGAATGGTTTCAGGATTCAGAAATATGAAGTTTTTGAGGAAGTCTTGTTCAAATTTGTTGTCAGCATATGGAAACAGATAGGAGATTGTATGGGCTTTGCTGTTGGGATCTGTGAAAAGGTGAGTAATGCTGCTACTTTGAGGAATGTTACTTTCAATTTGATTTTAATATGTAGTAGTGCTAAAAAGAAATCTCTAGTGGTGGCTTGCATCAGAGAAGATAGATGCTAGTTTGAGAAGCAAAATATTTTTACTCTTGAGAAATAGCATTTCGACGTGTATTATTTTCAACGTCAGGAGCTTCTTGATGCAACGATGAAGTTGATGAAGGTTGCTGTTGCTTGTTGTTCGGTGGAAAGCCAGAACATAATAATTGATAAAGCTTATACTGTACTTTCATCCAGCACTTTCTTATCAGTGAAGGATTCCTTGTCCTCTCTTCAAGTTCAACTAAAAGAGTTAGAACCTACTCAAGAAATGGACAAATTTCCTAGTAGAGATGAGTGGACTCATTCTTTATTTGCATCAGTAATTATAGCACTTCGTCCTCAAACACACATTCCAAATATTAGAACAGTATTGCATTTTCTCAAGATTGCGCTCCTTAAGGGCTCTGTTACTGCCGCTCAGGCTTTGGGTTCTCTGGTTAACAAATTGGATCTAAAGACAAGTGGAACAGAGTGTTCAGTTGGTTGTACCTTTGAAGAAGCAATGGATATCATCTTTGGTAAAAGTTTAAGGAGTTCTTCTGACAATGTTCCTGCTGGGGAATCTGGCATCACAGGCAATGGGAGTGAGACCGGTCTTACTTTCTTAGCCCTTGGTGCTGCAAACAGTGGTTTGCTTCAAGTTCGTTCTGTTGTTGGGCTGGCATGGATCGGGAAAGGTTTGCTTATGCGTGGCCATGAAAAAGTTAAAGATATAACCATGGTTTTTCTAGATTGCCTGCTATCAAATGGCAGAATGGGTGCCTTGCCACTGGAAGAAAACAATTGCGACTGGGATATGCATCTTTCTGCAGTTAAATGTGCAGCAGATGCATTTCGAGTTCTCATGAGTGATTCTGAGCTTTGTTTAACTCGCAAATTTCATGCAATAATACGACCACTTTATAAGCAACGATTTTTCTCCACCATGATGCCCATCCTGCAGTCTTTGATAATTCAATCGGATTCATTACTCTCAAGGTATACTTCTCAAAATTAATAGAAGATTGCTTGTTTCCCTTGCTTTTCTTCTTGATTCTGCATTTCTTTTGGTGTTGATGGCCTTTTCTAGACAAACTAAAAAACAAGGAACCCACTTTAAAATATATTCAGTTTCATTTTGTAGTTTTATTAGTATTGATTTGTTGACTCAGTTCGTCATAAAGTTCCAGATAATTGCCAAGTCATTCCAGAAAAGTATAATGTATCAAGGATTGGTCACTATTTCTACCTTTTGTTTCACTTTATGAGTTGAGTAACACTGCTTATTTTACAGTTTGCTTTCAATTGCTTTTTCACTTGCACCACATCCAGCTGCGTGGCTAGTCAAATTGATCTTCTTACTTTTGCAATTTTCTATTTTTCGTTTCCCAAACTTTTTGTTACTATCAACGCATATGTTCAAATGCTGTCGTGACTTTATTGGAATTCAGTCTGTTTGTGCCAGAAATAATACTATGTGCTGATAAAGCGTACTTGTCCCTGTGGTGTCAATTGGTTGGTGTCTAGTTGTTGCATTACAAAAAGATTTGTTATGCTTATTATTTATTTGAGTTACTGAGAATAAAAAAGATTAGTCATGGTCATTAGAGTGAAATAAAAAAGAATTAGTCCTGTTGCTGGGTGGCCCAAGAAGTCACAAGACATATAGTTGGGCATTTGCAAATTGTAACATCTCAAAATCCACCCCTGATGAAAATTATCTGCTATAGTAAGCAAAATAATACCTGTAGAACAGGCCTGTTGCTCGAGGATCCATGAATTAACGTAGAAATTAGTATTGCAGATGAATCCCTAGTGATGGTTGAAGTAATAGTATGCTGGTCTGAAATAAATGGGACATGATCGGTTGAACTGTATCTTGATTCCTTGAGGAACCATCTATAAGCAAGTTCATATCTTGGAGAACTGCTTATAGGCCAAGTTCATCTGGGATCTTCGGTCTATTCCTTGATTGATAATGCAAGTCCTGTGATTTCAGATCTATGCTATATCGGGCATTTGCACATGTAATATCTGACACGCCACTGATGGTTATCTTGAATGATGCAAAGAAGGTTAGTTTGATATCTTAGTCTTCCAGTATATTTGGTTCACATCTAGCAAGTGTGCTTGCAAGTAAACGGAGGTATTCTTTTTTCCAGTTAATTCCAATGCTGATGGATAGCTTAAAGTTGTTGAGCAAGGATGTTTTGGATAAAGATATAATGTACAGTCTTCTGCTGGTCCTATCAGGCATATTGACAGATAAAAATGGTAAGACTGTCTGTATGTCAACATATTGATCTATAATTTAGGAAGGTTTCTGTTTTTTCTGACTTTTTCCTTTGTAAAGGAAATTATTAAAGTGAGACTCTGTGACTTTAACTGCATTGTCATCGTGCACACCAACATGTTTACTCCATTCAAGCTATTCTTCCAGGTCTTAAATTTTTGGAAAGGAAAAGTCAAACCATTCTCCTAGAAATTTTAAAATCAAGCTGCTATTATGTATTCCATGGTTTTGTAAAATTTCATATTGGGGCGTTGTAAGTGATCTGTCTGCCTAGTTCTTACTCCAGTACAGTGTACATGTCATTGTTGCTTGGGTGATGCTGGACAGCTCAGGGGTGTTGTTCTGGATCAGAGTTTAGAGGCTGTTTAGGGCTGTTTAGGTCTTTATTAATGTGCATTTCTGCTGGGAATTATAGAACTATTAGTCACACTAATAGGGTTTCTAGGAGTCGAGCCTGGAGGATAGAAAAGCCTAAGCTTCACTCCTGCGGTTATTAGGAGACACCTAAGGGAGATTTGAATTACAATCAAAAGCAAATTGCTGGAATTTTATTCATAAACTGTCAATGAAAATATTGAAAGACTACATGCTTATTTATAGAGTTCTAGTAGTCCAAATCCATCAAGGACAATCCTAAATATGAAAATACTAAGTCTGTAGAATAGGAAAAAAACCTAATAAAGCTAATTGCTTTTTTGGATTAATAAAATACTAAACAGAAAAAAAAAACATAAAACCCAGACCTAGACAAATTTCCAGATTTTCCAAAAATTACAGAAATACCCTTGTCTACAAAGAGACACAGTTTTTCTTCCTTTGTTGTCTGCATCAGTGGGGCAGTGGGATCAGTGCTCTGGTGAATGTTTCTTCTCTTTTGTGTTTGTTACACCTGAGGAAGTCTTTATGAAGAGGTGTTTCACTCTTTTTTTCCATTGCTATTCATTTTTCTTCTTTGGGTCAGGGTGCAAAATTTAGTGTTCTGCTCTCTTTGGAGCAACAGATTTATAAATGCTTAGGCCTGTGGTTGGTTGTGTTTCCTTTAAATTAACATTAATTCATGTCTTTCTTGTTTATTTTGATCTGTTAATTAGCGTGTTTATTTTGATCTGTTAATTAGCGCAAGTCTTGAACATTTCTTTCTTTATGCATGCATACATGTCACTAAGCCTGCTTTCTATGAGTAGTTTTACTAGCAGGGATTATCTGGATATTAGTCCCATTCATGCTTCTGAAAATAGACTGTAGGTGATATGAGTCCCGTTTAAGCACCCAAAGCATATATATTAAGGGCCTTTACTGTCAAGCATTTGGAATTCTTCTTGAACCGTCTTTGTAATATTACACAGTATCCTTGCTATTGCAGATTGTCTTTAATCCATGGTAGATGAACAAAATATGTTTTCCCAACTAGTGGAAAATGCAAGTTGTGTTCTTTTATGCACAGATTGCCAATATGGACTGTCAGGTTATATTCTTTTTTGTGCTTGTGCATGCAGGACAAGAAGCTGTAATAGAGAATGCACATATTATCAGCAATTGCCTCGTTGAGTTTGTCACCTACCCTCATATGATGGTAACAAAAATTTCCTATAAGAAATTCTAATTTTTTGCTAACCTGTGCCCCAAAGTGCATTTTTAGATGTGGATTCAAATAAAAAGTCCGATTGCAATTTTACTTCATCTTATTTATTTCCTGCCTTTCTGCCATAAATTTCTGATCCTTGCTATCAAAACCCACGATTAATAAACTGAGATTCTTCTCCTGACATTCTCAGCTTGTTCGAGAGACGACAATTCAATGTCTTGTTGCCATATCAGAGTTGCCTCACACAAGGATTTACCCCATGCGAATCCAGGTTGGTTAAACTTTTGAGTTGGAGTTGAACAATCTAGTAGGTTTATTTCTGCTTTTCATACTTCAGCTTCCCACTTAAAGAAGTGCGTTGAGTCATCAGCTAATATGCTCCTGGCAAAGCAAGGCATAGATGATTGATTATATTGGCCTCTTTGCTGTATACTAACTTATCATTGAGGCTTTTCGTAATGCAGCTCCTATCTCCATTGCCCATGGCCGAACTTCTAAATTTGTATTCTTATAATTTTCAGGTGTTACAAGCTGTATCAAAAGCTCTTGATGATCCAAAGAGAGCTGTTCGTCAAGAAGCTGTTAGATGCCGGCAAGCGTGGTCGGTGGTTTAGATATATACTGCTGTAGGTTGAAACGATATAGGTACATGTGTACATTCTTGCTTGCACAAGTCAATTTAAAATCGAGAATTTGTTAGGGTTTCCTTAACAAATTTGCTTGAAAAGAAGAAGTAGAATTGAGAGAGAATTTGTATACGTTGCTGTTACCATAGTCAAAACAATGGAATGAAATTATCCTCCCTCTTCACTGCTCATTTATTGTAACTAACTGAGCCTAAACTAACTATTAACGACTTGTCACCTCAGCTAATAGTTGTTGTAACTAATACTTCCCTAACTGTCACATTAGCCAAAATGGTTTTAACAGTAATTTTTCTTAACTCTAATCAAAACGTACGTAATCCTAATATCACTATTAATAGTGTTTATAACATATGGCAAGGTTTAACAAGGTTTATAACGTTGCTGCCCTGTTCAAAAGATCTTTGTCTTCGAGGATCAAAGTTAAAATCAGGAAACTAGAGTTCCAATGCCTCCAATTTTTCTCACGTTAAATCCTTTTCTAGTAGGCCACCCAATCGAATCAATACCATGACTATTGCCTGATTGTTCTTTTTCATCATCTTCCCATCCAGGACAACTACTGGGAGAAGCTTTACATGTCCCTCCTCATCAACAGTTGGTAATGAAGTTGAAACCACACTATTGGAACCAAGCTTCCTTCTTAATAAAGAAACGTGAAATAGAGGATGGATGAGATCTCTTTTTGGGAATTCCAACTTGTAGGCCACCGTCCCAATCCTATAAGGGCCATAGAATTTAGGATTCAGCTTAAAATTCTTGGGGAGTGCCATACTTGATTGTCTGCAAGATTGAAGTTTCAAGTACACCATATCACCTATGGCAATTCCCTTTCTGTTTCTTATTGATCAGCAAGTTGTTTCATTCGATTTTGAGCCCTAGCCAACTGTGCTTTGATAAACAAAGCAATGGCTTTCCTTTCCCAAACCAACTCAGTAACGGTAGCAACTGAGGATGTTCCTTGAATTGCAATTTCTCTTGTAGGTGGTGGAAAACCATTCAAGGCCTGGAAGAGGGTCATTCTTATGGCCGAATGATCGCCATTGGAACCATTTCTTGGGACAACCATGCACATACACATCGAACAGAAAGCGTTAGTAATATTTAGCTCCAACAAACCGGCACCTTCTCCTTTCCCAGTATAGCAATAAACTCCCCATCCCGGATGTTCATAATTCTTTATGGCCAAATTTCATCCTTTGAACAGTGGACTCACACATCGCTTATTCATGATGTCGTGAACATTAATGTTCAATATCAAGTTATATATTAACGCTTTCTGTTCTGGTCTCGTGGTGATAACTGTGCTATGAGAGATAGTGTTCAGTATTTATAACTGCAACTTGATGATTTAATAATTAACTGTTCACTTATACTATTTTCTATATAAGATGAATGACTTCGTAATAAGAAGATTCATCAGTTAACAAAGCCTAAATTTCAAAGGCATAAAAGGAATGTATGGAAGAAACAAGAACCAATAACCACACAAAAATGCTGAGCAAAAAGCCAAAAAAAGCGGAGAATAAGCCTGTACTGCCTCGTCAAGACTGAAGATGATCGAGACGATAGCACACGCAATTACATAGAGCAATATATGGTTACTGAGGCCATGGAATAAATGTTTGAAAATTTAATTAAATCTCTCGATTCATGAAATTATAATGGGTTATATCATATCATCTGGAGGGTGGGGGCATGTTTGAATTTGAAGAAGACTAGTCCGTATTTCTGTCAGCGTGGGTTTTCGCTGCAACTGAAGTGAAAATCAAGACCACTCAGCATAGTGTAGAAGAGGTTGGGAACTAACCAAGTCATTTTCTTTTCTTAGCTGAATAGTGCTAGCAAACTTTATTCAATGATTCTTCCCAAAATCACTTACAGAAAAATTCAATTATTATGCTTATAAGATCTACGTATGGGATCCGCTAGCTCAATGCATAGGAATTTTTGGAAGGACGTTCGGTTAATTTAGGGTTCGTTCCTCTTTTTAGCTACTTCATATTTTCTTGTTCTGGAAGCAATCAGGTATTATACTGTTCCAATTATGGGGTCAGTCATTACTGTCAGAAGAAACCAATTCATTTTGATGTCTATTGTTTTGATGCTGAATTCCATCTGGATTGGTTAAATGGCAAGAGTATATATTTCTAGGCAATCAATTTGAAGTTGAAAACTTAAAACGCAACTAATCAGTTACAGCAATTTTGACGCCGCACGATTGTAATTGACACTAATTTTTCAAGAGACTTGGAAGTTGGAATTGGAATTGGAATTTTTCTTTTCAAGGACTCGTAAGCTTCTGCATACAATTGGAATACAAACAATCAAAGACATGCTGAAGCATAATAACGACCCTTGTACAACGATTTTAAAACATCTCATTATTATTATTATTTTAATATTATAATAAACTGTAATCCCCAATGAAGACCACGATCGTATTTAAAACGATGTGCTGGAGTCCTTGTTTAGCAATTTTAGTAATCACGTATTGCTCTCGAAGATAGTTTTCCAGCCATCACAGATCAATGAAACCTACAACTTTTTTTAAAAGGAGAGAGAGAGAGCTGAAACACTTGTGTTTATAGAGAAGAATGGTAAAAATATACAAACTCAAATGACGAACCATTAGAGGGGTATAATTATTTTCCAGTCCTAACATCTAACCAAGAAAAATGGTTACAAGAAATATTTATAACAATGAGGAAAAAGTAAACGAAATTATTTTTATGTTACATAGATCAAATTGAACACATTGCAGGAAATGAAACAGGATTTCTATGATGTCCGACCTTTTTTCACAGCTTCCTTTCTCTCTCCCTCATGGTAGAAAAATCTATATAACTAAAACAGATTATTGGACAGCGGGGGTATATTACAGTCTCAGTTTCTCATTGCGAGCGTCTGAACACAAACAATCTCCATCCAGTCACCTGCCAACACAAATAGTTGACAGAAGTTTCTGCAGCATTTGCACCAAAGAATCATTCAGACATATCATCTTCAGCCCCACTAGACTGGTCAAGGTCCTCATCTAGAGCAACCCTCTGTAGTCTTCCAAGGCCATCATCATCCTCAAACCTTCCCATCCTTGAAGTATTACCCCTCGAACTCGAAGTAGCCTGAAAAGCATCGTTTAATCTAAGTCACAGAGGCCTGATATCCAACACAGATTAAAAATGAATATTCATATGGATGATTCCATGTCCTTACCCCAGAATCCCTCTGTTCAATTGTAGCAGCAATGGCTCTTTTCCTCACAGTTACTCTTGAGGGTACAGGAAAATGTTCAATCTCGTCACCTGATCTTCCCTCTATGGCTCTCTTCTTTCTTAAATTAATCTTTGTGGGAAGAGGCTGCATCATAAAATATAAAGTGTAAAAAGTCCACAGTAATCAAACATAAAATGTGTACACTGAGAAAAAATGTGTGAGAGAGAGAGTTGATACCAGGTAGCGAGCTTCAGACTCATCAAATGCTACAAGGAATGTTGTAGGGTCATTGGCATCATCCCCCGTATCTGATTAAAGTGTCATGAAGAAAAAATCTGTTTAGCAGTTATGCAGAAGCTCGCTAATTAACGTTAACAACTAGAGGCACTTACATCCCAATGATACTCGCGAATCCATGAATATGAGATATCCTCATTTTCATCATGCATATCCTTTGAAAGCTGTTACCATAACATAACAGAAAAATAATGAAGACAGTGTAGTATGAAAAGAATCATTCATTGGAATATTAGCAATTAGGAGAAATCCAAAACTTAAGTGCTGATATGCATGTATCGTATTTGGAACTCTGGATGAAGTAAAATCTTACCTCACCAGAAGAAGGTGCCATGTATGCCAAAAACTTTTCTGGGTTCGCCGGATCTGAACCAGTTGCCACACAAGCTTTCATGATAGCCTGTAATCAAACATCAAGAACCCACTCAACAAAATGCATCAGTAAGTGTTTACTTTTTACAACACACCATGCCAGATTCTATGGATTAATGATAATTTATGGTTTAGAATAAAATTTCTATTTGTTTCAAGACATCTACGTTTCATTAACCCAAAAAATTTGTTGTCTTGTAGTGCTTCCCCACATTCTACCCCGTACTTTTGATTAAAGTCCTTCAACTTCCTATTCTCAGTCAATTCTTCTTTTGGTGCTTATTTCTCAATTACTGGTCCTAGTTATTAAATGATTGATAAAAATAAACCTTCAAGTATGTTTGCCGCCTATGTTATTTTGCTGTTTCTGCTACACATTCACCTAACTAAATTATCTGAATAGGCATAACAAACATTCTAATTCAAGTTCCATTTGCCTGCTCCCATGCGATACATCCACTTAAACAACTTACCCGTGATTCATAGGCATCACGTTCAGATGGATCTAACTTGCTGTAATTTTCTGCATCAGCTGTAGGAGCACCATCAAATGTTGCTGTAACAAATTTATCTTCATACCTGGTACAACATCATAAAACTGTGGGAGTTAAAAGACTTAAAAGTGATGTAAACCAAGAACAAGATCACCAAATCAATTGAGACACACTCAATCTTGGAGAAAACGCACAGTTTTTAATTTCAATCAATAACACATTAAAACCAAATGTCTGCCTAGGGTGTTAGCAGTCCTAAAAATAATCTACTATGTGGGTCCGCATCAAAAAGTGAAAAGACTGGAATGCAATATGACCATCCACTATTTTACAAGTTCCAAAATTTGGCCAGTATCAGCAATTTCTAATTCTTCGTTTCAGAAATGATAGTCCCTCCATCCCACAGTGTCCTTGTCCTTGTTTCTCTATTGATTGTTCAAAATGCATATATAGTCGAAAAAATCAATTCCTGAATGTTACTACACCCTTTAATAAATAATTTTTTAACATAACTGTTAGTGAAATTAGTTAAGAGTTGTGGAATGGAGGGAGTGCAACATAATATTTTAAGCAGAAGAAAGCAATATATGCAAAAATATCATTCATATATATACATGTCTTCATGTGTTCAACATATGTTTCTTGAAAAAAAAAACAGCATAGCATGCCTTTTCTTCCTACCCAAGAACGAGAAGAAGGGAAAGAAGGATATCTAACATCTGAACTAGCTATAATTGAAGACCTTTACTTCACTTTTACATGGTAAATTAAATAGGAAGAGACACTGCAGGGAACAATTATATCGTCATTCTTAGTAGCACAGTATAAAAAGAAATAAATAACAGCATACCGATCAAAATCAGGTAGCAGAGGCAGAATCTCGACCGGATGTAAGTTTTTATTAGTCGCATGCACAGGGGGTAACTTGTTTGCCTCAAACGATGCTTGAATTTCCTTGATCTGTCTCTCCCTGAAAATATTACAAATGCTTTCAAAATGTAAAATAAAGAGTCATTTATTTCTAGTTCTGTTTCAACATTTTCTTCACATAGGCAAGGTAGAATAAAACAAACCTGTTATTGAGATTGTCCAAAAGATTACGGCCTCCTTTCATTTCTCTCAGTTCTTTAGCTTGCTTTTCAGTCAGAGACTGCAAATTCAAATGTAATTTGATTACAAAACAGCTTTCGGCAGTTTGTGAAGTAAAGAACATGCAATGAAGCACAAGAAAAGCATACCAGTTTAGCTGACTCCATGCTCAGGGGAGATATATATTGTGTCTTAACCAACCAAGAAACACCTTTATCTGTTGGCCGTTCTTTTCTTCTTATACCATCTCTTTTTACAGGGGTAACCGACTCATCATCACGCAACAATTCCTCGTCTTCTGGAGCAAGAGGTGGTCTCACACTAGGAGGACTAACAAAACCACAAAACCAGTAGAGTAAAGAGTGATCAGGACTGTCATGTTGAACAAATTACCAAGACCCTAAAAATTAAGCTGTTGAGAGATTATACTTGTATACACTGAGATCAAGCAGGTCAAGTGGTATCCCAAGATCTGGCTCAACATATAGTTGAGGTTTATACATTTTCTCCAAAGATGTGATCGTGTATTTTGTAAATCTGCAAATAAGAATATTGGCATTAAGTACAATAGTATCACGGTAGAAGTATAGCATGATATCCAAGAATAAAAACAGAACATTAGGTAACTAGAAATTCCTGGAGCATTTTTCTCTTTTTTAGCCAAACCCTTAGCATAAAATTGTTTCATATAAAAATTCAGCACGGCGAGCTTCATAACAATCAATCATATGCCAGTGTAAGATGGAATGGGAGATCAACTTAATACTGATGAAATCTTATATGCTAAACACCATGAGTTCACTGACGAGCCGCTTACAAAAATGACAAACATGCATGGCCATACTCATTAATCACCAGGTTGTCCATCCTTGTAATTTGAAACTGTATTAGCACCTCAATGCTTTCTACATAATATCAGATAGCCATATCCAATACTATAAGAGATCGGCATCGTTACAAGTCTTCCAAAAGTGAGATACATGTATAGTGCCTGCCTTGCTAGAGGTTTATAAAACTTTTAAATTTATTATTTATGCTATCTGTCTCACCAATTTACCAGTCATTTTTTGACATAATCGTATCCTGTCGCACTCTTTAAGCTTCTTCATGTTTGTACCACCAATTTGCAGGATAAACAGGATCACAACATTTTAGGTATCACACAAGCACTGAAGAAATGCATTTGTTATTATATCCTTACTCAAATACCAATAAACTGGATGCAACACTTGCTACCGACATCTCTTTAACCAAGATTCTTCCTTTCACATAATTGTGACAAAATATTCAGTGAATATAAAGCTAAATTAGGCATCCTTCCAAAATTAGATAGTAACTAGGAATATTTGTCGTTCGTGGTTGTGGGTGGGGGGGGATGGGATGATTAAGAGAAACAGCAGATTGACCACGATCTAAATTTGGTACAAGCCTCTTCTTATGTAAATAAACTTATGCAAGGCATTATATATTGAACCCCTCACTAATGATATTCTCAACACTCTCCTTGAGGTAGAACAGATATCTATCATGTCCACCTTCTGGGAAAGATTGCAGGTATGCCTCAACTTAAACTTTTCCGCTAACATTATTAAATGCATATATATAAAACCCTCATGCTACGTGCACATACCGATCTTTATCTCTCTTTAAAGGCATCAGCTTTGGCTGGGCACTCGGATCAGGAAGTTCATTCCGGAATCTTCAAGAAGCAAGCAAGTAAAAATAGCATCAGTACTGGAATTGGGCAGGTAAATTTCGGTTAAAAAAAAAAAAAGAAGCAAAAACTAACATGTGCAACAAATGTTACTTGCCTGTCAAATGGATAACATATCTACAGCGTTAAATCATACACATGCTAAAAATCAATCACAAGATCTAAAAATCAAGAAAATATAGCAAACCCTAGTGCTGATGTATGTTTCATAATAAGATAAATGGGTTAAAAGGCGTAGTAGAATAAGAAAAATAGGCAAAGGAGAAACTTCCTCAAAATTCATTAGGAGAACTACCTAATACGCACAACAAAGTACCCAACAGATCCAAGGCCAACATGCAAAGCAGTTGGTAAGTATTATCTACATTCCATAGCATTTGGTTCTTTTAATATATCTTCACACATTCATTTCATGACCGAATTTAATATAATTCTGTTTCCAGATTCTAAAAGTTCATAAGAACCCCGACACCATTTTTCAGTAAAGTAATTATAACATTAGTCAATCAAAAAGAAAGCTGAAGTGTATACTGAAGAAGGAAAACACTTGATTGTTACGGTTTCATATCAACATTGCTGCTAAGTTCCAAAGCAAAGAAATATTAAGAAAGACAACAACAGAAAATCAATATCATAAAAACAGAGTTCGATGTTGATAAATTGCTGTAACATATCATGCATTGGTGCAAGTCCCAGTAACACCTAATTTAAAGAAAATAAATACCAATTTCCAAAATTTCAGGCATTCAAACCTGAGACCCCTAAAGACACCACATCGAACTACAGTACTTGATCTACCAGAGGTAATAATAATAATAACAGTGGTCACTGGAGTGCTAAAGGACCAGCTAGTTAAAGATCATTTTTCCAGAAGAAGCCTAAGTGTTTCAGTCAATATCTGTCAAAACAACAATAGCAGGCTGCACACTTCACTAATGAAAGCAGGCTGAGACACATTGGATTGACAACAACTTTTGTTGTTATTCTGGGTTTCGGATAATTGAAGTCATTCATGATTAAGAGGTCCTGATATTAAATTGAGATTTAATTCAACATACTCACTTCAACTTGCACAAGAAGGTCGTTGGCTTCTTCAACCTATTCTCAGTCCTCTCCCCACCCAACAATGGTGCGGCTCTCCTATCCCCCAATCGCGAACCAACAATGGAACCATGCCCTTTCTGAGAAGACATCATCTGGTTCTTTTGCAGAGCTGGGTTCTGCAACTCTTTCAACTGCTGCCTGTGCTTCTCGTCCTGCCTCTGCTTCTCAAACTCTCTCTTCTTCCTCAGCCTCCTCTCCTCCTCTGTCTCCACCCTCCCTGAGTGCCCATTTGCCCTCTTCGGCACCAGAGGAGGCTGCGACTTGTGCTGCTGCTGATGATGTTTCCCATGATTGGAATGATCATGTTCTCTCCTCTCCCGAGACACTCCTTTATCTCTCGTAACTGCACTCTCCTTGGGAGGGGGTGGGGGTGGGGAGTTGGGAGGTGGTGGGGGTGGAGCTGAAGAACTAGGCGGAGGAGACGATGGGGGAGGGGGTGGAGGTGGAAGCTGCATTGGCTGCTGCAATGGTTGATGACCGTAATGCGAAGGCGGATAGTACATATTGGGTGGTGGTGGCTGTTGCTGTTGTGATGCTGGTGGAGGAGGAGGAGGTGGGTATGAGGATTCAGGAGGAGGGGGTGGCTGATAAGGATATTGTTGGTGAGGCAATGGAGGAGGTGGGGCAGCACGGGGCGGCTGAGGGTAGTGTTGTGAGAAATTCTGATAGTTTTGTGGTGGTGGTGGTGGGGCCAATTGAGGATTGTAATTTTGAGTATACTGATTTGGTCTTTGCTGTTGTTGTTGTGGTGGTGGTGGCGGTGGTGGTTGTTGTGATGGTTGTGGTGGTGGTGGTGGTGGTGCAGGGAATGGCCTATAGGAGGCCATTGTCACTATTGCTTATTTTTCTAAATCAAATCAAAGCTCTACAACTAAGTCAGTATCAAGCTCTTCTATTTGACCCAATTCTTGAATTTTGGACAATCAAGTCAAATAAAAGGCTTTACTGAGTTAAAAAAGCAAACCTGAAATGCCTTGGAAGGAAATAAAAAAGCTAAGTTGAAAATCTGAAATTACCTTCACGCAACAGAAACCCTAGTTGCCATCGACAGTGAATCAACAACTGGAAAGAATTGAACTCACCGGGAAATCTTAAAACCAATCAAATCCTTAATCGAATTGAAGGGAATCTCAACTGTTTTCTGCAGAGCCCTAGAAATATTTTTGAGGGAGAAAGAGAGGATTTTTGACAGAAGAGAGTAAGGGAGAGATTTTTGAATGCTTTGTTTGGACTATCCTTTCTCAGGTGACAGCAGGATACTCGGTGACTAAGGAAAGGAGCCTTTTGTTTGCTATTTATCGCCAAATAGCAAATCATACGTTATTGTCCGGATTTCGGCAACTCAGATTTTCCCTTTTTTTCAGTCATTTTTGGGTAACTAAAAGTTGAATGACCATACAAGGTGTTTATTTCCTTACTAGGGGATCCCCGATTTGCATAGAGGAACCACCAAACCCTTTTCCTAAAGGTGTAGATAGCGCTCACCATCACCTATGTCCATATCCTAGTTTAGTATAATTTTTTACTTTTTATGACAGGGTTAGTGGAACCTAGACAAGTTATTTATCCAAAAAAAAGCAATTGTGAGACTCGAATCTAAGATTTTGGGTTGAATGCCTCTTATCTTTAATCACTCTTATCTTATCTTATCTTATCTTTCAAGAATTAAGAATGAAAATTTTAAAATAAAAATATAAAAATAAAATAACATTTATATTCTCATTTTGTATTTGAAATGGTAATAAAAATCATAATAAAATTTTTAATTTTTAATCCTAGTTTTTAAAATAAGTAAAAATATAATTTTATCAACTATAAATAATAAAAATGATAAAGATAATTGTAGTGATGGTAATAATAAAGAAGAAAGTAATAATAATAGTAATACTATAATAATAATAATATATTTTTAAAGAAGTAATATTACCACCACAAAAGATGGAATTGAAAGAAGAGTTGTGATAGTAGTAGTGTCATAAAAGTGATGGTAAAGGTAAGTAAGGAGTAGTGACGAAATAATAATAATAATGTTTTTTCTTAATTTTTTTTATCATCACCTCCAATTGCGAGTGGTGACGGTCGCGGTGTTAGTATAATTAAATTAATTGTGATATTGATGGTAGTGATGATGGCAAAAATAATTGATACAAAATAAATAAAAATAATATATTATTATTTAAAAAAAAAACATTTACATTTCTTATTTTTATTCTCACCCTTCCAATTGAAATGAAATTATGTTAATTTTTATTTTCATTTCTATTTCTATTTCTATTTCATTGCATTCAACCAAATACCTATAAAGTGAAAATAAATTTTCATTCTCATTCCTACCTTTCTATTTCAAATTACCATACAATATGTTAAAGATTTTTAGGTATTTTCACTATATTGTTTCTTTACTCACATAAAAACATGACTCGTTATAATATTTGTCGTTATGGATTCCATTTTTATGTATGTGGACAATGAGTAAATTACAAATATCTAATAATTTCTCCTTATCCTTACCACTTGAACTAACTCTTAATGTTAGGTTAGTACCTAATATTCACATCTCAATAAGAGATCAAACAATTTTGGGATCTTCGATTCATGTCTACTAAGGTACACAATGGACATTGGATTTCCAAGTACCTCAAACCTTACATACATACATATTTACACAATGTTGTGAGTTTGATGAATGTTAAACACTATGTTGTGTACGACCTAATCACACAAAACATAAAATAAAAGCATATGCATAATGGTAAATACTATGTTATACATGACCTAACCACACAAAACCCAAAATAAAATCATTTGCGGAATGGTAACAAGGTTAGATTAAGTATCTACATATGTCTACTTTAGCTATTACAATAGAATTTCAAATAAATTTATATGTTGTTTCAATTTCATTCGAAGTTTTATTTTATTTCAATTGAACCTTGTAAGTTTTAAATTTATTGCAACATCAATGAAGATTGATATTGTTAACCGGACCACACATATGACTTCCAGGTGTGGTTGGTTTTAAATTTGAATAAATTTTAATTTTTTTTGTTAAGGTTTATGTGTTGTCTCAATTTCACTCAAAAACTTCTATTTTATGTCAAGTTACTTCCACAAGTTTTTAATTTGTTACAGACACCAATCTTTGTCAAGTTAACAAAAGTCTAGTAAATCACACGTGAGAGGTAGATGCACATATACATCTGTTATAACAAATTGTTTTTTTTAAAAAAAAAATAACATAATTCAAAATATAGAATAAAGAATATGTTGTGAGTAAGAAACCTTGGATTGTTAACTAAAAGCTTTAACTTTATAAACAACACATTGAGATTCTTAATCAAATGTGTTTAAAACTTTCAATAGATAACTATGTGTGGCATTAGAAGACAAGTAATATTCTATTGCATGAAGATAGAAAACAAAACAAAAAATCTAAAGAAAAAAATTGGCATTACTAGATGCTATACTCGACCCTTATACTATCTATTTTTATCTCGTCATATATAACTATTTTGTTTTAATCACATCAATATATATTTCAATAGATTTTCATTTTATCAAAGATTTTTTTTTCATCTCAAAGATTTAGAATACGTTGTGGTTTAAGTTTTACACCCTTGCCTTCTCCTTTGCATTCTTAAATTCAACTTTTGTTTTTTTGTAAGGTTGTGGTCTTTGATTTGATTGTAGTGTGAAGGATAAATTATATATTGAGATTTGTATTTAAAATTAAATGACTATGAAACGAAAATATGTTTTTATATATTTTATAATTAAGTAGTACTTAGTTGATTATAGGGGAAAAAAATACTAAAGAGAATTTGGAACATGACGAGAAAAAGGGACTTAGTAAATGGATTTTATATCATTTTTGAATTATGACAACGATGGGAAAAAATAATGTTATTTATCAAATGACACTTTTATTATTACGTTTGACATGTTTTTGTTGTTGTTTTATTTTGACATTGAGACTAATGCATGTGTACACACATATATTTGAATTTTATAGTTATGATTTCATGATGCATATAGTCATGTTTTATGCACATTTAAAGTGTTATTAGTTTTTTAAGCTATTTTTCATAAACATAAAGTAGAAAATGCTTTTTGAATTTCAAAAAAGCTGAAAACAAACATACTCTTAATTGCTAAGGTTAGTAGTGTAGAAGAAAGCAATGTATATGTATGTATGTATGTATATATGTATTGTAAGTTACCTTCAAATTTTTTTTTATAAAATTAATTTTTAATATTCAAAATATTTATATCTCATGTGTCACAAATCATACTTAAATATTATAATAAGAATAAATATATATCATATGAACTTTACACAAACTAGAAAAATTAAGTATGCGAATTGAGCAACTTACTTGCACCATTATCAATGAGTAGTTTTTATAAATTGAATTGTGATATTTCAAAAATCAAGACCTATTGTGAATTTAACAAACAAAAAGTTAGATCTATTGTATTCACTACATTAATAGCAACTCGTATATTCATTGAGATATCTCAAATTTTTATATAAAAAGAATCTTAACATCAAAAACTCGTCACTAAAATAATTATGTATAAAACTAAAGAACTTGTTGTACTTGAAGGAATCAATATCATTTTTAACAACTAGAGAAACAAGAGAGAGAGAGAGAAATAAAATTTAGCAATAAAGGAAAAAAAAATGGATCTATCAATATTAACTTCAACAATAAAATTTCATAGAACAATAATAACAATATACTTCAATACATTCCTTCTTCATCAACGCATGTGCACGTTATAAAAAATGAAGATTTTAAATTCTATCATAGATTCAAAAGAGAGAAAAATACTTACATAAAGGAGCGCTTCTTGTTTAGGTCCGAATCCATTAGTGCGATGAATATGAACAGAATTTTGAGAGCGATAATTTGGTATTACGAGCCTTCTTTTACCACCTCCGAATGGGAAGAGTTAGGATTTCTTCTCACTTCTATCAAATCTAAAAGGTAAAGCATTATCTAATGGTCATTGTTGCATTATAAAATAAGTAAAATCGCTAACTCGTAGTAAACTCTTAAATTTGATAAAAATTTTATTCTAATTCTAATGACAATTAAATTGTTATCTAAATATTACGTATAACGTCACATGAAAAGAGTATATAAATATGACACGTATCGGTAATTGTGTGCCGGTAGGAACCGATGTGTAAACGTTATAATATTAATCTTGTAACATGTCAAACCTTATCACCTCTATCCTTATTACAAAATCCATGTATATCTATAATGCATCTTTATTCGGATATCTTATATGATTGAATGTTGATTGTTTGTATGAAATTTTAAACTTGTCAACGCCTTTATTTTCAAGTACTCGTTTAATAGTTAATGTTGCATTATAAAATAAGTAAAATCTATCAACTATGGTAAACGCTTAATTTTGGTAAAAGTTTATTCTAATTCTAATGACAATTGAATCGTTATCTAAATATTACGCATAATGTCATGTGATAAGAGTATAAAAATATGACAAGTATCAATAATTGTTTGTCAATAGAAACTAATGTGTAAACGTTAATTGATCTTGTAATCTGTCAAACCCCGTCACCTCTATCCTTATCACAAAATTCATGCATATCTGTTGTGTTTTTGTATTTAGATATCTTATATGACTCGAATGTTGATTGTTTGTATGAAATTTGGATTTTAAACTTGTCAACGTCTCTATTTTCAAGTATTGTCTAATGGTCAATGTTGCATTATAAAATAAGTAAAATCTACAAAACTATGATAAACTCTTAAATTTGATAAAAGTTTATTCTAATTCTAATGCTAGTTAAATTATTATCTAAATATTACGCATGACGTCACGTGATGAAAGGGGTATATAAATATGGCATGTATCAATAATTTTTTGCCAATAAGGACTAATGTGTAAACATTATAATATTGATCTTGTAACTCGTCAAACCTCATCACCTCTATCCTTATCACAAAATCCATATATATTTGTGACGTATTTTTATTCGGATATTTTATATGATTGAATGCTAATTGTTTGTATGAAATTTGGATTTTAAACTCGTCATGCTCGTATTTTTAAATATTACTTACTAGTCGGTGTTGCGTCATAAAATAAGTAAAATCTACCAACTATAATAAACTCTTAAATTTGATAAAAGTTTTATTTGAATTCTAATCATAGTTGAATTATTATCTAAATATTACACAAGACGTTATGTGACGATGGTATGTATATAAATATGATATTTACCAATAATTATTTGCCTATAAATATTGGTGTGTAAACATTATAATATTGATTTTGTAACCTATAAAATCTCATCCTTTTTCACAAAATTCATGTATGTCTATTATGTAACATTATTCGGATATCTTAGATGATTGAACATTGATTGTTTATATAGAATTCAGATTTTAAATTTATTAATACCCCATTTTCACTTGTTCATAACCAACACACACTCGGGCAAATGAAAGAAAAGGCTTTGAGTCATTCATAAGGGTTTCAAGTCTACTTTAGGATAGTCCTTGACACGAGAGGGTAAGATAAATCTCACAAGAAGATAAAGCTTAGATCAAGGGCCCAAGCCTTGCAAGTTTTAGTCTTGGCAAGTCTAAAATTACCACTTTATAGTGCATTTTTTAAAATCCTCATCTCTTTTTGATTCCTTACGTGTTCAAAAAGCTCGCATTTTATATAGTTTTATATTATGTTTAGTGATGTTTTATAATAGTTAATATTGAGTTATCACATTTGTTGTCTCGTACAACAAGTGTGTTAATAACAAAACGAATCTAATAATAGCTCACCATTATACCAATAGATTTTTGGAATAATGGTAATGTTAATGTCTAAAGAGATCACGGTTTTTTTTCAAATCCTTCTTTTATAGTATTTCAACCTATTTTCTATTTTTTTTCCCTTGATTTATTAATTACATAGATATGCATACATACATATTTCTTGTTTTTTCTCCTTTTCTTAATATATATATATATATATATATATATATATATATATATATATATATATATATATATATATATATATATATATATATATATATATTGTCTATTCCCTCTCATCGAGATATATCTTTTGTACTTATTAAGCTTTCATATTTATTCCTTTCAACGGACAAGAAATTTTATAATACTTAATTTTTTTATTTTCTCTCTCTTATTTCTTTTTTCTCTTTGTCTCTATCTCTTTCTATAAAGTAATTTACATTAATTATTCATTGAGTATTATAAAATTTATTGTCAACAAACCATATATATATTTTCTTCTTCATAGTTTAGTGAAATAAACATTCCAAATTTTGTTTTATTTCTCGGAAAATTAATATTTTTTTATTTCTTAAACATTTAAAAAAATTTTAAGTGTTTTTTAAAAATTTTGGAAAATTTTTATTTTTTTATTTCTGTTAAATTTTCAAATCTTTTAATGGCTTAGAGTCTCCAATTTTATTTTTTAAACTATTGAAATTTTTGGAAATTTTATGTATTTTTTTAAAATTATTTTTTATTAAACAATTTGTTAAATTATTCCTTATTTTTTTAAATTATAAATTTTTTCAAGACATATTAGATTTTTTAGTCCATATTTTTTATTTTATTATTTTCTTGTAAAAATTAATTTTTCTATTTCTTAATCATTTTAAAAAATTTAATTGGTATTCATTTTTATAATATAAAGGATGTTAGTCCATTTGAATTTTGCAAACACAGGGTAGATTTTGATGAAGTTATTTTACAATTGCTGAATTGAAACATAGGCACAATTGTGATTGTTGAGCATTTTCGACGTTTGTATGGTTAATTTGAGAGATAATTACATTATAAGTATATTAATTTTCAATTTTTACTCAACCAAGTATATAAACTTTAATTATTTTTGTTCAAGTATATTATTTTTTTAAAAAATTGTCAATCAAGTATTTTAGTCAATTTCTTTCACTAACTCGATAACATGTATGTTATCCCCATAATACCAAATTACAATTTTGGTTTTTTTTCCTCAAAGGAGGACACGAACTTTAATTTTTTCAGATCGAGTACACTAACTTTTTAAAAAATTATCAATCAAGTACTTTAGTCAATTTTTTCATTAATTGATAATGTGTTCAAATACCAAATCATATTTTTTCCCTCTTGTTGTAAGAAACTTTCTTTTTAAATTATTCTATCATTTTAAAATTTGAGAAAAAATTTAAAAAATATTATTTTTTAATTATAAAATCTTGAACTAATCTTAGCAAAAATTGTTATTAAAAAAAAATTAGTTAGGTTTTGAACGAAAAAGTTGAAGGAAACATATATAAACGTGAAATTTTTCATCAAGAATATCTCGTTTATGTTTTTCTTTAATTTTCAATCTTAAATCTAACCGAGTTTTTTTTATATAAATAACAACATAACCGAGTTTAGTTTGGAATTTTATAGATAAAAAATATATATTTTTTTTAATTTTTTGTCAATTTTTAGAAGGGTAAACTAATTTAGGAAGAAAAATTTCTTAAACAAAGAGAGGGTAAAATTATAATTTTGTGTTCTAATACGTCATAAATTAACAAAAATTTTACTCAAAGTACTTGATTGATAGTTTTAAAAAAATTGATATACTCAAATAGAAAAAATTAAAATTTATATACTCAATTGATAAAAATGATAAAATTATAATTTGATATTTTGAGGATAATAGACATGTCATTGATTAACAGAAAAATTAATAAAAGTATTTGATTAATAATTTAAAAAAATTAATATACTTAAATGAAAAAATTAAAATTTATTTACTCGATTGATGAAATATTGAAAGTTGGTATAGCAGCGACATTGGCGGGATGAAAAAATAAATGTTGAAAAAAGAATGGTTATCCAATGTTAAATCAAGCTTAACAATTCTGATCGAGGTCAATACTTGTAGAAGGACTCCATCGCTTTGCCTGGTACGTTGTTTATCTTTCTTATCAAATGAATGATATACTTAATCCCTCATTTATACTTCCTCTTAATTTCTTCTTAATTTCTTTTTATTGATCGGGAGATCGATTGCACATATAGCTCCAGTACTCTATTTCATCCCTTCATTTGTTAGTCTTTCTTTTAGATATGGACCTGCTATAGGCTTTTTGCCATCTCTGTTAGAGCGATAAAAAATGGGCCTGGACTAGAGTTCAGCTTGGAAAATCAACTACACCCATGTTTGATGCAATAAGGGAAACTGAAAAGGTGGTCACATCAAAACGGTTGCGAATCGCAAAAAGAAAGGAGTAGCGGACAACAGGAAAGGGCAAAACTTCCACAGTCCGTTCAAGTGATTCCAAAACCCATTAAATTAGCCAAGCCCATGCATTTTGGGTTAAGATTAATTAAACACATACGATCACATAATTAAGATAGCAATCCCAAACCCCATTAACAGGTTCCCGGCCTTTTCTTGGAGAGAGATTTAGTGCACAAGCATCCCGAAATCACCGATTAGACATTTCATTCAACCTGCCTGGTGTTTCTTACCTGGGCCGACATGCAGTGTCAGCAGGCCCAGCTTGCCTCGCTAGCTGAACAGCAATTAGAACAAAATAAAAAACTAATTAGTCACTGCTTTTTCTTGTAAAACTCATGGATTGTACAAGTTTCTTGAATTAAAGAAGCACCTGAAAATAAGTTTCAAGCTTCCTTTTCAGCGTTGCATATTCTTTCTTGATTTGTTGGAATGTCCTCGTGCATCTGCAGCTTGTATATATCCATGCAAAACCATTAAAATTAACCTTGAACAACATTATTCTAGCTATATGTTTATATATATACACACAGTGCCGTGGCTAGGATTAGGAACATAACTATATGTTACTCTTCTGATTTATCGTTGTACTTAATAATTATATCACAAGAAATTATAGAAGTGAGCCCAAATCTATATCGGCCGTTCATTGGAGGTGATTCTCGGAAATAAAGTGGAAGATGGGCCTTTACCCTTCTCCATTTCCTGCCTTGCAATATTCCCTGAAGAGAGTGCACTCAGCTTTCACCTTTTCGGCCCCAATGCTGCACCCAGTAGAAAAGAATAGAGGTGAAGGGATTGTTTTGTTAAAAGCTAACATAGAATGTACCTGATGGTACCTTTAATAAATCTAATCTTAATTCATTATATATCTTATAATTTCTATACTCAGTACTCTGAATGTTAAATTTATCCTTATAATTACCTTGAGCTACTTCCCTTGAATTGATGCATATAGCCATCCAACTTATTAAAGTCAAGAGGATTCTTCTCCCTGAACGTACGTATATATACATATAGACACAGGAAAAATGTTACGATCCAGCCATTACAGTAGATATCATGGTCACTAGCTAGGTACTAATTTTTTCTATATGAAGATTGAGAATAGATCGAAAGTTGCAAAAATAAAGGAGAAGAAATTATTAAACTGACAATGCTCGCTCTATGTTGTGGATCAGTTTAGCTGAATCCCTGTAGTACAATGTGACTACTTCCTCCACAAAATTAGGGTTTGCATCATCTTGGAGTTCCTCAAGCTGGATAAATTGTTCATCAAGAAATCCCTGAAATTGTTCCACAATCCCAATTTTCATTACGGTATCACCAAATTAAAATCAGTAACTTATAAAAGTAATATATATTTTTTTATTTCTAAGATATCGTAAACCTAAAAATTTCAGACTAACCCTTGATTATTCGGTTGAAAGTACAAAACAGACATAACTATTCAAATAGTTTTCTACATTTAATAAGATTCAAATTCGATACTATTTATTTAAATGATTAGAACTTCATCCACTTAAGTCAATTCTTTTGGATTAACCATAACATTAATTTAATGTTAAAAGAAAATTAGAATAAAGAAAAATTATAAATACATAATTATTTTATTTATTTATTATTATTACAAATGAGAGATTCGAACCGGAGATTTTTTGGGAGAGGGAGAATACTAATATTAGTTAAGTTACAACTTATTAACATAAATATCCATGAACATAGTTTCTACCATATATCTACTTTCTGGATGCATAAATATATTCTTTATGAACGCAATCGCTAGCACAGAGTAGTCGATCTCTGTTTATCATAATGAAACACGAAAAACAAGCCCTTTTTTTTTTTTTCAAAAAATTTGAAAACTAACCTTAACTCACATATATATATGAAATTTACAAATAGGTGAAACTTATATGTATATAGTTTTGGGAAAGAATCACACGCGATCGAGTTTGCAATTTAGCTGGAGAAGAAAAAAGGTGGCTTAATCTTTCGAATTGCGATGGTAGCTACATTCATTTTAAGTCATTGACAAAGATGAATTGAAGAAGTAAGAACCTGATCCAAAAGAGACTGCCTTGTGAGAGCAATCTGCCTACGCAACTGGTTTCTCTCCATTTCAGAAAAAAGAATGTTGGAAAAAAAGCAAGAAAAAGGAAGGAGAGAGACAGAAAGGGTTGGGGAAGAGAGAGTGAAGTATATAGCTTGAGTGATAATATCGCAATATGTGGCAAGGGCTTTATATAGTGGTGAAAAGAGAGTGTATGTGTGCCAAATTTCTACCAATATTTCTATAAAAAAAATAAAAATGGTGCGAACTGCGAAGTGAGAACCACGAAGAGGAGGGGGTCACACATGATGCAGGATAGCAGACAAGTATGGAGGAGAAAAGGGAGAGTTCGGTATCTAAGAAATATGGGTATTTGGGATTGGCATTCAGATTCTATGATCTGAAAGAAAAATATCAGATTCGCTTATCATTATATGCATGCATGTGTCATATCCGTTAACTAAATTTGCTTTCAGATTCTTGAGGTGCACAATATTTTTTAGTGAATGATCTTTTTCTAGCTGTATTGTTTACACACACTCAAATCTCGATCCATGCATGATTCTGCGAAAAGCTTGTAATTATATATATATGGTTTTAGAGATTGAATTGAATATGTAACTTCATGACCAGTTTCGATCATCAATATTACTGATTTAATTTTATTTTAAAAGAAATAGAATCGTTGACTATTTCTCATTTTAGCTTTAAAGTATAGACAGTTGGTTTAAGTGAATAACTTTTTCTTTTAATTTTTTTTTTGAAGGAGAACAACTTTGTCATATCAACACTGATTCTCTGTGAAAATTCTAGGCACCAAATAAACCATAACTAATTATGGTTTTCAACCAGATCGATCTCCTTCTCCTAGAAAAATTTTGGGTTTTTAGGACCAATTCTTTTTCTTCTATTAGATGTTTGGATTACTCTAATTAATCTCATGCATTTCTGCCACAGTAAAATTTCAATATTCACCCACTGAGGGAGTCTACCCCCATCATAGTTAGAAAAATATACACCACGCACCGTATATATGGTTCTCGACCTTGTAAGCAAAAGCACTAAGGATCGCATGAGGGGATATTTCCCTTCCAAGTTTGCATAAAAATATTCCAACAGTTTCAATATATCCCTCGTAAATTGATTCTTTCTGCAGGTATTATATCATTGTCATAAAATTTATTCAAAGTTTAGGTATTCATTCATAAATTTTAACTAACAATAATTCCCTAGCTAATTCATTCCCCTCACTCACCACCATATTCCTGGATATTTACGTATGCATATGTGTTTGATTTATCAAAACGAAAATATACGTGTCCATATGTTCTCTCCTTCAATTCGAGATGAGAAAAGTACATTGATTGAATGGGATCGATGTGTATGGCAGTCCGATTAATTCTTGACACATCCTTCAATTACTTCTGTTTAATCACGTTTGTTGAGAACCAATCAGCAAATTAATTGAAAACGCCTTTAATAGGCATCGCATGCATGAACCAAGGAATTTATCCTGTCCTGCCTGAAAGCTTAGCGTAACATATATATACATATATATGTTGGACAAATTCAAAGAATTAAAGTTACGTGACCATATGCTTTTTGTCATAATCATTAGATATCATTGGCTTCAAAAGTAGTATAATTTTCCATGATATCTATTGTGAAATCTACTAACATAGTCGAATACCAGATTTTATAAGATTAGTAATATATAGATGGATTTTTTTTCCTCTAAAATGTGCCATATATAAAAACACATATTGGCAGTATTCGAAAATCTTAAAAGTCAAATATGATTTTATATCGAATCATGCTATATAAAAAATATATATATTTGTATAATTTTTTGAAAATTCATTTGTTATATTCATTTTCATTCTCTTATATCACCATCTATATATTAATATGAATTACTTTCGATCGAAAGCAAGATAACTAACTTCTGGCTAGCATTCATCCTAGTGGCACATGTTACACATACCCCTGATTTTTTTTTTAAATGGTTATTTTTGGCTTAAACATATTAATTTGGCATTAAATTTGTGTTTTTCTAATGAATTATTGTTTTCACACAATGTTTGAATCTACAAGCTGTAATTGGTTGATACTTGATGGGGACTAAAAGGAGACAGAGCCCCATGCCAACTCATCAAAACAAGGAAGTTGGCGTTATTTTTATTCTATGAAATGACTTTGTACGGACAATCTTTACTACGCCTAATCAACGGAGTACTAACCCTTTTTTATTTTACCAAAACTACAAATCATCATATTCATCATCTTTCTGCAAAAAAAGAATAATATGATTTAACACCTTATAAAATTAATAAAATGTGCTAATTGAATTAAAATCATCAATATACGTGAATCTCTCTCTTTATTCCGTCCTATCTAAGATTATTTTTCTCAAAATATTTTCAAATTGCTTCCATTGTGATTTAACACGTTTAGTTATTGAGAAATAAATTGTTTTGGTTTATTTAATACTAAAATTTAATTCTTATTATTCATATTAACCATAATTATTCTTTGGTGTTATCAAATTTGAGTTAATTTGATGTGAAAAAAATTTATTAATCAATTAAAAATTAAGTGTGTTTTGACATTATTTTAAATTAGAAATTATTAGATATATATATATATCATCCTTTGATGTTTTTTTATGTTTAAAGATAATTGATTATTTTTTAACTGATACTCACATTAATAGATAATAAATATACTATCATTTGGGTTAATTCAATGTTGAAAAACTTAATATTTAATGACGGATTTTTCCAAAAGCAAAAATCGAACTCTTAGCCCCATGAATCATAAAGATAGAGCCCCATGCCAACTCAAAACAAGGAAGTGTAGTTATTTTTTATTCTTTGAAAAGACTCTGTACGGACATTCTTTGCTACGTCTAATCAACGGAGTACTAATCTTTTTTTATTTTACGAAAACTACAAATCAGCTCCATCATCTTTGCTCAAAAAAAGATAATATGATTTAACACCTTATAAAATTAATAAAATGCGCTAATTGAATTAAAATCATCAATATACGTGAATCTCTCTCTTATTCCGTCCTATCTAAGATTATTTTTCTCAAAGTATTTTCAAATCGTATCTATTGTGATTTAACACATTTAGTTCAAGGTAAATAAGTTGTTTTATTTTGTTCAATACTAAAATTCAATTTTTATTATCAATATTAATCATAATTATTTTTTAGTAGTGTTAGATTTTGGTTAATTTGATACAAAAAAGAATCCAATAATCAATTAAAAGTTAATTAAATTAGAAAATGATAATTTTAATTGATGTAAAAACTGATCAAAAAATAACACACACACACATTTAGTTATCATCCTTTGACCTTTTTTGTTATGTTTCAAGATAAAGGGTTATTTCTGAACTAATGTTCGCATTAATAGACAATAAATACACTATTATTTGGGTTAATTCAGTGTCGAATCCTGCTTAATATTTTATGAAGGATTTTTTAAAAGTGAAAATCAAACTCTTAACCAGATAAATTATAAATATTATTCTTATCATCCACCTAATGGTTTGAAATGTTGTCAAATAAATTATATTAAACTATTTGATAATAAATCATTGTACTCTAAATTGAACAATTAATTATTTATCTTGAGTGATTATTAATTAAGGACATCAATTTATTATTATTATTATTAAGAGACAATTTGAGAATCTATTGGCATTAAAAAAATTAAGGAATTCAAAATTCATAAATCATTGCAAATCAAACATCATCTATGAAATAATTTTTTTTTTTAACAATCACAAGCTGATCCAATTTTATTGTCAAAAACCAAATAAGTTGAGTCACTCATAAAAAATAATATCTGTCCTCTTACTTTTTGGGTATAACACACTTTCGCTAGGTTGGTTATCTAAGAAGAAAAAAGCAATGCGTTCAAGTGGTTGAACGGAAGATATCTTTTTATAACACGGTATTTATATATAATCTTCACAGGTCTTGAATTTCAAAACGTCACCATTCACCATATTATTTACTAAACTCCCTAATTTCCCTTTTCATCTATTTTCCTCTATATTTTCGTTGTTAGGCCTGTGCTATTTTGTTCGTAAAAAAGATGTTATTTATTTATGAAAAAGGAGTTTATTAAAGTTAAGGGGCTAAGAAGATTTTTTTATTTCCTTAATTTTATGAATTTAAACCTTCAGACCAGCATTCAGAAGAATTCATAAAATTCCTCTTCATGCACTAGATCTCCGAAAAGAGCGTATTTTTAAAATCATTTAAAAAAATTAATTTCAATTAACTTGTAAATTAATTCAAAAATACTGTTATATTTTCATTATCTTATTTATAAATAGGTGTTCGTGCGCAAATGAATGTTGATTTTTTATTAAAAAAAATCAATAAGTATTTTCTAATAATTTGAAGATGTATTTTTGTTAATTCATGCTGGAATTATCATGTGTTGTGTGCATGACCATTAATTTTAAGAAAATAATTCATAAAGGGATTTATTAAAGAACAGAACCAAGCTAAAAGTTAGAATTAATTGGTTTTATTTTATTTTATTTTTATAGAAAGGTACGAGTATTGATGGGTTCCCTTTAAATTTTATGGTTCTTAACAGCAGTGGTGTCTAATATTCATGTACATAATTATAATGATTCATTAACATTCTTTTCTTATTTTATATAAATATGCATAAATTGAGAGATTGGATTGATTCACAGAGCTTTTTCAAAAAAAAAAAAAAAAGGCTTATGAAAGAATTAATAAATTAGAAAATAGGGAATGGTTAAACGGGTTACCTCTTTTTCAATGAATACGGTAAGAAAGCGCACTACTTGATAGAAAGAGGACGGAGGCCATTGCTAGCAGCAAAAGTTTCTAACCTAAGAAAATAAGAATTAATTATTATGAAATGGCATGCCTTTATTCATATGTTTTTTTTTTTTCCCAAGTCACCATCTGGCATCTAGTATATCACTTTCGGCTTTCTATATTCAGTTTCCTACCCATTTTAGCATCCTTTTGAAAGATATGCCTAGCTTCGCTGACACCATCGATACACTACCTAACCAAGTTAAATCTTTTCCTATCTCAGGTCTTCCTATTCTTACCATAATACAGTTTCTTACCTATGTTACAGGTATATTTTTTTGTGATTTTTAGTTGATTCTAGCGGCTATATCAAGGCAGGCGATAAAAAGTTATGCACTTTCTTACCTTTGTTCATGTATATTTTTGTCATTTTTAGTTGATTCTAGCTGCTATATCAAGGAAGAGGATCATAAAAAGTTGTGGACAATAGCTGTAAAAAAAAAAAAAAGATCCGGGAAAATTCACCACATTCCTTTTGCACTTTGTAGTAACCACCACTTGAAGAAAAACTTCTCATACATGCTACCAATATGATTTTGGAATTAAAAGGCACAGAATTGGCTGACCATTTGTTTGTCACGGCCTAACTCCCACCGTGGATTTTGGAACCAAAGAATAGCATCATAATGGGTCCCATTTGCTTGCATGTGCCCGCCTTCGATTCTGCCATCAACATGATTCTTCCTCACAAGGCAACGCCCTATTTCAATGTTCACTGCTGTCATACAGGATCTCAGACAGTCTCGCGAGCCGGGAGAGGCAACTTCATTTTTTTCGTTTCAGATATGAATGGTAAGAGCAAATGATTTTTAACAGTCGAAACAAACTAATACCGAACAAATCTATGCATTTCTTATTGGTAATGCAAACTCATTTTCAAGCTTAATATAGCTTCGTTAAAGTGTACAATGGGGTATAATGATATGATCCAAGCATATGAAGTGTTGACTGTTGAGTAATTATTATTTGAATATGGTCCATTGCTTAAGATTATGGATCAAATCAATAGAATTCTTGCATATCATTAAATTTATCCACATTATTTTGTAATAGATGCATTGTGAAATTTTTTCTTTTATGATTATGAATTTGCCATTACATGTGAAAAGATTCACATTTTAAATGTGATTCACTAAAAGATTATTCAAACAAATTTAAATATATGTAAAATAAATTATAAATTAATCCCTTTAGTTTCAAAAAATAAATTAATTAGTTCTTCTTGTTTCAAAAATTAATTATTTAGTTTTTATATTTTTAATTTGGATAAAAAGAGTCAAACCTCTTCATAATTTTAATTTATTTAAAAATCAAATTCTTAACTTTAATTTGTATTTCTTTGAATTTTTTTTTTGTTTAGATTTAGTTCATCTTATGATTTTCAACTATTACCTCTCTCATTTAAAAAATTCAATTCTTCGTAATTCCTGTTTCAAAAATAGATAATTTTGTATCTAACTATATAAAGTTTGGTACATATCTATGAATAGGGGATGTTGGTTTATGTTCATTATAGGGTAATAGGGTGACTAGAAATCCTTTAATTTTTCAATTTGAATTTTTGCACACCCGTTGAAAAAATCCAATTCATTTTCTGAAAAATTTCAGAATTTTTCAAGATTGGGTTTTATATATTTTTTATTTTTTAAATATTAAAAATTAAGAAAATTAAGAAAATAAAAAATAATTTGAAACAATTCTAATTTCTTTTTAAGAGCTCTAGATAAATCTCACTAAATGATTTTCATCGCGAAGCTATTTATGTAATTGTTATTTTTAAGATAAATAATAGAAAACTAAAAGATAGACTAAATCTCAAAAAAAAAAAAAAAAATCAAGGATGTCAAAATATAAATTAAAATTTCAGATACTAATTTTCAAATAGACTAAAATTCAGAAGAAGTTTGACCCTTTTAACCTTTTAATTTCCTCATAATTTAATTATTTTTGTTCCTTTTCAATTTATTTGATTTTTTTAAGAAACAAAAAAGAGAAAAAAAATAAGTAAAAATATGGATGGATTGATAAGAAAAAATATTTTTTAAAAAATAAAATAATATTAAATTAAACATGATTAATTCTGATCAAGAAATTAAATAATTAGTTTTTAAAACAAGAGTAATTGATTAATTTATTTTTTTTAAAAAAAAGAGATACTAATTTATAATAATTCTATTAATTTAGTCCATGATAATCGATGATCGATGGACCAAATTCATGTAAAAATTTATGTGAAGTGTTCAATTTGCAGGTTTCCTTGAGAAAAAACCCTATTTTCAACCTAAGTTTAGAGAAATGTCGCCTTCAAAGAGAATCCAGAGCTTAAGAAGGTGAGAGGTTCAAACTCTGAGTTGGTGGGATGGGGTAAGAAATGAGAAAAACTAACTTCATTGCGTAGTTCGAGGCTAGTTAAATCTCGAGGTGAACAGAAAACAGAAAAACTTCGTAACGACATTAAATGGGTAACTCGACCGGTCTAATGAGTTAAACTGGTTATTTGTGAAACCCAATTATGGCTTAGAATAGCTTTTATTAGATTGGATGTCTGAATCTCTCGATCATACCATTTCGGAAAACATTGTATTTACTTCGAAAAATAAAAACTTTTTTAGGAAGAAATAAATTGTTTTTCGAACAACACACAATCTAGAAACAGAAGCTGCTCCTAGATCGAAAGGTAGCTGATAAAGTCGATGCATGTATATTAAGCTACATGGAATCTAATATTCATTAAAAGTTAATTTTAATCAATTTGCAAATTTAGTAATATATATGTAAAAAGGGCATGTTCCGGTGATGGGAAAGATAAGGGGAGTGGAGAATAATACCCTGAACACAATCCAAAAAGAGACGGATCATAGGTGACCACCAAAAGAGGAAAACCAATTAAAATTAACACTACTACAAGAATAGAAAAAAGCTCAACAATGATTGACGTTAGAACTTTACCTTCCAGGCATTGATCCATGTCATGTCTTTCATTATCTTCAATTGGCTACGTACCTGCAAATTTAGCAACAGGCTAAAAGGGAAAGAAGTGTTTTAAGAAGAGATTCTACCCTTTATTCTTCTGCCACAGAGAGATGTATTACAGTATCACAACACAGTTTCTTGCTGCAAATGTGTCGTCGCATATGCTGCTTTGTTAAAAGAGTTTAAAAAAAGCTGAGGATGTCGGGAGTGGAGTGGGATCAGAATATGATTTTTTGTGTTGTTTTCTGGCATATATAAAAATCGTGATTCTCTTTTCCAATCACTGTCTTCTATGTTGATAAGAATCCCACTCTGGACAATAATCTGTCCCAGCTAGCAAGTAAGTTGATGTTTTCTTTTTATTTTTACTCCATCATAAAAAAATTACATCAGCAAATAAGTTCTGTCATGGCAGGTAGTTTGGTTGTTACTTTTCCCAACCAAACGAGTGAAACAGTAATAGGATGTGTACATCATTCTCGCACTGATCAATCTCATCTAAACTTTTTTACAAGGATAATTGCTCTAAAATAGAAATTGAAATAGAAAAAAACTATACTATATTTATACACGCATGAAGTTCAAAGACTCAAATCCATTTTATTGCCTAAAAGATACGATTTTTGCTCCATCAAATGTAGAAATAGAATTATTTGATTACCAATTACCTAGTGCCTAACAAAAGAAAGAGTAAAAAAAAAAAAAAAGTTAACTGGCGTGATCTTATTCTATTTGTGCTAGATAAGAACCAAACGAAGACAAAGTGACAATCATATTTTAGGAAGTCATGTCATCAGAAAAGCCGATTCTCCTGCCAAGACGTACGTAGATCTGTGTACAGTAAATCTTGTAATATTCTCTTCTACACTTAAATATTTACTTGTTAAAAAAACAAAAAACAAAATTAAAAAAAAAATTGATTTAAGCAAAAAAAAAAATTCTAGTAGCTTAAGTAAGTGGTTTTGAGTTTAAATCCTTATATATACAAAAAATTCCTTAAATAGTTGTATTTGTGTTATGCATCCGATCGAACAACGAAGAATTAACTTAAAATTTTTGGGTTTAAGATACCTTAGGGATAAAAAAAAACATTTTTTTATCATGAATAGTAACTTATATTTCACAATCAATTGGTTAGACGATATAAGATTAAAGTTAATAATAAGTGAGTTAGAAAAATCATATTGTTGTGAAAGATTGAATTACAAATATGAAAAATTACTTAATATGTTTTTACAGTAAAACATTTTTTAAATTCAAATATTCTAAAAAAAAGAATCTATAATACTTTTACATGTATAAAAAATTTATTGTCACTAAACAGAGAATTATCAATTAGACCATCCCTGACTTGAGTTATATAGCAAGATCCGACGTCAGTGATTGTGGTAAGTGTTAACAAGCATAATCCATGTCCGGTTCCATCATTAACAATTGCTCATTTGATTATCCAAAAAGAAAAACTCATCACAATCAATTGGAGGTAAATTGAATTGCAAACCAAGTTCTCTTCGAATTCTAGCATGAAGATATGTGAGCAACAAGAACATTAACAACATATAAGAAGGTTCAATTTTAAAAACTAATGGTTGATGCAAACATAACCCAAGGCAGCAGTAACTAATAAGGCCATAGTTGATTCGCGAGTGATAAGAAAGGGTAGGGATGGCAATGGTGATCAAAACCGAACCAAAAGGTTAACCTCTTTTTGATAAAAAATAATTATAGTTTGGTCATGGTTATTAACCAACTGATTGGTTTGGTTATGGTTATAATATTTACGAATATAAAATTGAAACTGAAACGAAATAATAATATTTATTTTTAAATGTCTTTATATAAGTGTTGAAATATTATAGTTACATCGTTTGGTTATGTTTTAAGAATGTTTATTTTCAACTTTTATAAGTGTGTCAAAGCTTGTTTTATGTTTATTTTTTATGCGGTGATTATTATTATAAATTGATGTTTTATGTAGTTTAAGATATTTTTACTCACAAAACTTATTTGATTATTATTATTATTTTATTTTTTTAATTTTTTATTAATGTCTGTATTGACAAATGACTATTGACATTTGTAAAATTTATTCGTTCGCTTCTAAAATTACATATGATTAATGGATAATTGATAATCGATATTTATGGTTATAGTAATTGGTTTTTATTTTTCTAAAACTACATATGGTTAACAAATGTTATTGAACCCAATCCGATCAAGTTATTGGATCATCGGATCACTGGTCCGACCCTTGAGTCAATTATACTAAAAAAGAAATATATATTTTAACATGTAAAGGATAAATGATAAATGATGAATTGGTAACTCGCATTTTTTTTTAAGGTGGAGATAACTAAGTTCAATCCCCATAAGTTATAATTTTTTCATCAAATCAATGCTAGAACTACTTATTCAATTGACTCGGGTGTGTCTAAATCTTTTAGAACTCCGATTTTTAATGTTAACTCAAACCGATTAGGTGGCCGGATCACTTTCCTATTCGAGTTTAATGACGTTGTGGTTATACTATTGTCATCCTTAAGAAATGGATCGACATGCATGTCTTGAAAGTAAGAGGTAAGCGAAGGGTTGCCACATCGAGGAATTAGCTCCTCATGGGACTTTATCGAAAAGTATCGTTTTTGCTCATCAACGATGTGCGTTGGAGAATAATCCAAAACTTGTAGGCATTGATGCAATCATACGGAAGTTAGCTTTAAGGTTGCTTTCTCACTAACCTTTTCATAGATATTCTCCTTACAGCATCAATTTTGCTCATCTTCATAAGAATCCCATTACTCGATAGATCGTATTAAAAGTTACGAGCCCACTATACATAGCTTTTGTCCACTCGCCAACAATTATCCAAATAAACTAAATGGGGAGTGATCCTTGTAGCAAACCTAAAAAAAAAAAAAAGAAGTAAACCAAATGATAATGTAAAGCCAAAAAATTAGCAATCGAATGTGCATTCAAGAGAGGGAAGCATATATGATGTTGCCGAGTACTACGATTAGGATCTAGAATGTACAAAATCAAATTTTAGATATTTGAATCCCATTTCCAAGAAAGTATTGTCGATGCATACATGCTACATTCAATGGTAACATGCATGCATAAGGAAATCCGGGAATCGAAGTTTCCTACCATTTATGGCATGTTTGATGGTGTCAAAGTACCATCTCAACCCAAAAACCGAAAGGTAAAACTTTAGAATATAATTTAAATTATTCTTTAACATACATTACTTGGAATTTCGTTAAATAACGACGGATGTAGAATTTCGTTAAATAGCAACGAAAATTAACAACGGATATACGTTTGTCGCTAAATAGAAATCAAATAGCGATAGAATAATGATGGTTAGAATCATCAATAGAATAGCAACGAAATAGAGATGGAATAGTGATAGTTCATTAGTGATTGATACTAATCTAATGTTGAATTTGACGGTAAATTTTTTTTTGAAAGTTTTAGAAACGAATTAGCGACATATTTGCTAGGAAGAATAGTGATGTAATGGCAAATTCATTGCTAAAGGTAAGAATTTAGGCAACATTGGGTGGACTTTTTGAAAGACAAAATCGCCTAATTTACGACGAAATACCGACGGACATCGAGAATTTAAGACGGATTAGTGACGGGACTTAAGTCCATCGTTATATGTGAAAAAATGGGTGACCAATCATGCAAAATTGGTAGACATTTTGATATGGATTAGCAATAGACTTAAGTGTCCGTCGCTATGTATCGACGAACCAATGAGAGGATCGCATCCATCGCTATTGTCCGGTCTTAAGTTAGCCTTTTTTCCTACCTCCTCCCCCATTTTCATCTCCCTCTCCTTCTCCAGCTCGATATCGTCATTCTCCCACCCCTCAAAACCACCATCAAACTCCACTCCTCTACTCTCAATCGATCCACACCCACCCTAAGGTCTTTTATCTCAAAAATCTCGTTTTTTCTTCCCTTCTCTTAGTGTAATTCCACCCGAATTAGGTATGTCCATTCTCTCTTTTAATGTCTTATTTAAAGTTAGTAATTTTTTATAACTGTTAGGTTAATTTAAGTTTAATTACTTGATTTATGAATGTGTATATATTTAATTGTTATTTATTGATTTATTTGTTAAATTGTTAATTTTTGTTAATTGTTATATTAATTGGTTGATTAATTTTTAAAACTCGTTAGTTAATTAGTTAATTAATTATAACTTAAATTTAATCAGAATATATTTTAATTAATTAAGTCAAATTTATTAAAATTCAATTAATTAATTAGGTTATTATGTTTAATTTATTGAATTAGACTAAATTAATTAATTAATTATAATTAATTAATTTTTCTTGATTAAGTTAGTTTAATTTATATTTAATTATGTTAATTATTTTTAATTATTTGAATTATAAGTTTGTTTATATTAGAAAGTATTAATTAATTGTTATTTTAAATTTAATTTAGTTAAAATTAGAATTAATTAAGTTCACTAGATTTATATTTAATTTATTGATTAGGTTAATTATGATTAATTGGTTAAATTAAAGCTTTATTTATATTGGAAAATTTTAATTAATTGTTATTTTAAATTTAATTTACTTAGAATTAGAATTAATTAAGTTTATTAGATTTATATTTAATTTGTTAATTAGGTTAATTATGTTTAATTGGTTGAATTAAAACTTTATTTATATTAAAAATTATTAATAAATTTTTATTTTAAATTTAATTTGTTAGAATTAGAACTAATTAAGTTAATTAGATTTATATTTAATTAATTAAATAGGTTAATTTTGTTTAATTGATTGAATTAAAAATTTATTTATATTAAAACTTAAAATTTTATCGTTATTTTAAATTTAATTTGGTTAGAATTAGAATTAATAATGTTAATTAGATTGATATTTAATTAATTATTTATGTTAATTTTGTTTAATTGGTTGAATTAAAACTTTATTTATATAAAAAATTAGAGGTTTTTATTGTTTTAAATTTAATTTAGTTAGAATTAGAATTAATTAAGTTAATTATATTATATTTAATTAATTAATTAGGTTAATTTTGTTTAATTGGTTAAATTAATACTTGAAAGTTTATTATTATTTTTTTTAAATTTAATTTGGTTAGAATTATAATTAATAAGTTTAATTATTTTGTATATAATTATTGAAGTTTTACGAGATACACCATAATGTAACGAACTCGAGGGGTCGGAGACCTCCGAGAATTAAAGAGAAATGATGTTGCTTCAATACTTTACGATGGAGCTAAGAGGACACGTATATGATTTAATTTCGATAGAATATCCGAGACAATGTGTAATAACTCGACCTAAGAAGATATTTAAGTTAAAAAAAAAAAATGGGGCATCATATAAATAAGGAGACAACTATCGCTCCTCCACTTTTTCTTTCTCCTTCTCCTCTCTTTCTCACGCATTTCTCTCCAGATTTTTCTCGCAACTCTCTCTTCCAAATCTAAGCTAAAACCTTATAAAATTATCCTAGAAAAACCATAAACAAGTAAATTTACGTGGAGTTTGATTGGATTGAAGCTTGGAAAGCTTGGAGCGTTAGGATTGGAATTTGGATTGAGGAGTTAATTGTCAAAGGTAAGAAATTTAATCATTTGATCTTTAAATTGGAATATTTATATGTAGTTATTAATGATTTTGAAGTTAAATTGCATTGTGTTTGTTGTTTGAATAAAGAACCGAGTTAAATTGAGGTTAGGATTTTGAGACCCATTTGATTTCATTTGATTCTTCATTATATTGTGAGTGGATATTATATAACATGTTATACTTTTAAACTCCTTCAATTATGTCTATCATGCATCATTTGTTTAAGTATAATTTAATCATATCCCTTGGAACTTAGATGGGAACGAACCCAATGTATATTTGAACTAATTTCATATCAAAAAAGCTTTAAATAGATTGGTATGATTTGAAAAAGAGATTTGAGTATATGTTTGAGCAAATGTTTTATATGGTTTGATATGCTATTATGATTTTGATACTAACTTACATTAGATTAATTATTCATATAATTTTGCAAGTTTTAATTTGATATTGAATTGTACCATCGGATATGATTTGAGTATGCATTGTTTTTTATATATTGGATTTAAATATGTATAAAGGTTATATGGTTTTCAAAATGTTTTCGTTATCCTAGGAAACCTAGATATGGGGAGTGTAGCCTTTAAGCTCAATGATACGAGACTCCAGCTAGCGTAAAAGATAGAGTGCCAATTTATGTATCGACCAACATACGAAAATCCAATCATGAAGGGTGTGACCTTTGGTGGTTCGTATCCAACGATACGTTATATTCACCACAAGGATTATAAAAACCTAGATATGTGGGTTGATTTGATTATGTTTTGTAGTGTTCAACAAAATGATTTTGTAATTATTAATGATTAACCATCTTAATGTTTTAGGTTTTTTCGAAAGCTTAAAAGTAATGTAAGGAATAAATCAAAAGTGAAAGGGTCAATATGTAGTAGATATATAATTAAAGAAGCCTCTTCATTTTGTTCACACTATTTCGAGCCTCATATGAATACTAGACATTAAAAAGTATCGTGTAACATTTGATTTGGTCGCAGTTGTCGGTGGTCGTGTTTTTAATGTTGATCATGTGATTGATAATGGTGGTGCATGTGGACGTTGTATTACTAGTCCAACTCGTCAAGGTCGTAAACTTGATAGTGGTGTCGGCACGTCTACATCCCCTCTAATAGTGCCTCCACTGGTAGTGTCCCTTACTATGAATGATCCCATTATAGTTTTCTTAACTCCAAAAAGTTTTAATGGATCCGATGATGGATGGATCATTTAGGTCATGAATAACTAGTAAATAATAAATTTTACTTGTGATAATTAGTTTTGTAGTTTCATATATTATATTGAAATCATTAATTTACTTATTTATTATTTATTTATTTTATTCAACTATTTGGTTCCATCAAGCAAGTGTTTCATAAAAATCATCATAATTTTCAAGGAGTGATTGGACGTTGCTAGCTCCACATAAAGGTCTATCTTCATGGAGATGAAAGAATTATACTTTAATGAGTTTTGGATAACATATTAATCATTTGCTTATATTTTATTAAAATGTTAATTTGTCATGAAAAATACTAATATTATTTTTTTCTCATGTAGAAGTACTTTTTATGGGATGCGTTATCGACGTGCTAATTAAAAATGCGTGGTAGAGTCCGACACGAAGACGATACAATGACATGTTAAACAAGTTGAAGAATAAGAGTAACGGACTTGTGTTTATTAAACAGGAGTTGTGGGAAGCTTGGTGTTGGGATTGAACTACTACCGAGTATCGGGTCTTATCTCAAGCACACATCTTGAAATCGTAAGTCGAGAGAAGTGGTGTCGGTGCTAGCCCATCTAAGCATACCAAAGGGTCTATCTCTTTGATCGAGAACGCCGAGCATTTGGTAAATACTATATTATCCAATGTATTATAAATTAATTTTTGCATTTATTTCATTTAGTATTATTTTGTTAGCATAATAAATTGGATCATAATTCAAGTCCGTAGGAGTCTGTTTGTGACTACTTACAAATAGAAGGATGAGATTTTCATCGATAGGCGATCGTAGACGAGTAATGATGAGGTTTTATATTTTTTAAATATATATAAATCTATCAATATAATCTAAAAATATATATTTATGATTTAATATTATAATTATTTCAATGACTTAAGAGCGTATGTAGTTAATGCAAGAAGCAACTGCTAAGGAGCGGCATGAGGGTGATGCATCGTTTTAAGATATCAACATGTTCAAAATATATTAGATGTTTTCGGATGGGAGAAGAAGTAGAGAGTGTACAACATCGGAACTTATACATCTCGGTGTTACTCACATTTTTACGCTAGCTCCTCCTTTGCCACTTTGCGGTATCCTAGTGGCAATATCTTGAAGGCTTCTATCCGAGTACTAAGATAAGATCAAAGGAATGGAGGCTACTATCCAAGCACCGGGCTAGTCAAGTTAGCAGACATCTAAACTTAGTTGCAGAGAGTTAAAGGATTGTCGGAGAACCATCACCGCCTCTCGTACCTCCCGCCGACACTTCCACAAACTAGTAGTTAGTTCCTCTCAACGACAGGCAGTTGAAAGATGATGTAGAAGATGGTGATAATGTGGACTAGATTTTTTTTTTTTAATTTTTTAAAATGTTTTTATACATCTTAACGCATTTATATATTTAATTATTTTAATTTAATTTATATAATTTTAATTTTATTCAATAATATATTATATTTTAATAAGGTGTTGTTTTACAATTCCAAATAAACGAGCTATTGATTTTTTAAAAAAGAGAAAAAAATTAACGACAGATTTAGTGATGGAATAGAGAGGGTAATTATTGACAAATACATATATAGTCACTAAACAACGATGAATTAGCAACGAAATTGTGCGGATATTAGAGACTATAATTTAGCGACGACCTATTCCATCTCTATTTAGTGATGGATTTAAGTAAAAATAGAGATGGTTTAGCGACGGATATGAGAAATTACGGATAACCGATCTAGATCAATTTAGCAATGAAATCTCAATAATTTAGTGATGGATATTCCATCCCCGATTAGCAAGGGAAGAAAAATTTGGTCGCTAAAAAATAGTAATCACCATATTAGTGACGGAATTCATATTGTCTCTAATCCGTTACTAATTACATATAGTGACAAAAAAATCCGTTGCTATTTAATGAAATTATGGTAATGACACTCCCTCAAATAAAAATCGTTTGAGCTTGAAACTTGCAAAAGCCCGCATTATTTTATATTGAATTAATTAGAAAAGAAATAGGGCTAGTGAGATTTGAACTCACGATCTTTTGATCATCAAGGTTCGGATACCATGTCAAATGACCATCTCAACCCAAAAAATGAAGCTATTAGATGAAACATTAGGATATGATTTGTATTATTTTCTAACGGATAACATGTAATCAAAAGTATTATAACATAAATGTGATTAAAATAAAAATAAAAATGTGAGGTATCAATGGAAACGATCAATAATTTAATAGGTAATGACAGAGCCAAGACGAAAGACTCGAGGTTTTAAAGAACCTTTTTTCTTTGAGACATCGGAGATTAACGATTATATACGTTAAGGAATATCTTCTTAAGGATGAAAGTGAATAAGTTTTTACATATTAGGAATGAAATTGAAGTTTTTTTTAAGGGAAAAAAAAAACCAAATTTAGCACTTTTTTAAGTGGAATTTAGGAATTTCATACTTTAAGGCTTAAACACGATGAGAAATATCTTTTATGGACAAAAAATGAAGTCCATTTTCACATGAGGGATCAGACTAAGAATGTTTAAGAAAAGAGACATGGATAACAATGGTCGGATACACAGTCTATTAATTTAATATCTTATCATACAAAGTAGAAAAATATTATGTCTATACTCGTTAAAAAATTATCCTCTAAATTCATATTCAGTCCATATCCGTTATATCGGACTATTTAATGCCTACTAAAACTAATTTGTCATTTTGTAGAATTTGTTCCTATAATTTTCAAAAAATTATCATTGTCCTTAAAACTATTCTTTTACAATTTAGTCCTTTATAAATGAGAAACTCAGACCTGCCCGTTGAGCTACTATCTTTTAACATTTTGTAGAATTAGTTAAAATATGAAAGCGTGTATTTTATTATTATTATTGATGAGAAATATGAAAGCATAATCATTTGAATCAATAGTAACAGGAAAAAAACATGCTTTATTGATAGGTGCAAAGAAGTGTTTCTACGGTTTGTCTTGCAAACATTTAGGAGGCTCTACTGCTGTTCTGAAAGACATGAACGTAGATATTGCTATGTAACCAGCATTTTTGCCCTTTTCGACCCATTCTTTCTTCCCAGAATATGTTGTCGATGAGGAAATATTGCAGTTTGGTGATCTAACAGAAAAGCAAACTACTTTTTCTAATTTCAGCTTTAAGAGTTTCCATAAATATATAAAACATGCATCATCTTGTTATATATATGTATCTTTTTTTTCTTCCCAGAATATATATCTATATTAATGAATTACGGATACAAATTAAAAAAGAAGACATACCCTAACCTCATGTTATTAATAACCTGGAAGGAGCTTCAACCAGATTGGATAAATTTGAGAGATTGGATCTAAAGATTGGGCCGGTGAGCAAATCATTGAAATTACTTAGGCTTGTATTGTTGTACCTGGTAAAAATGACAGCATGAAACATATTACAGTAACCTGCAATATGGAGATTGCTAACTTATTACCATCATGTTAGTTGGAGAGAAATATTTTCTCTAGCAAATAAATAATTATATATTTTTTTCTAAAATAAAAATTTATACTTTTTTTTTCAACAACAAAGATATTTTTGGATTAATTTGCATATCAACCCAAACTATATTTCTTTTTAAAGAAGGTAAAGTGCGTACATCTTACATTAGTCTAGCACATTCAGAAAAATTTAATAAATTATTCTGAAAATTGGTCTCAAAATTTGAACTAAAAAATCAAGAACCATTTAAGTTATATTTTATATCTATTCAGTTAGAAATTTAAGGTGATTGTAGACCAAATTAGAATTTTATGCTTATGTCCATAAGTAAAATAAAACATTCCAAAATCTTTTTTTATTATTTTTAAACTAAAACTTTGCAGATTCAATTGAAAAAAAAAATTCTTCGAAGAGTTGATTGAAAATTATTACGTTTTTTTGGGATGGACCAATTTATGGTTTGCCAAACGTGTAATTAGTTTCTCATTATTATAAAACGACTCGCCAAAACATAGACTTCGTCGCAAAAACTGAATGATACTTTCTTAGGTTGGCTATGCCAAAAAGAAAATGTATTAAAACCTTTAAATCGTCTGCCTTCTACCTTTCCACACCAGCTAATTTCGTCCCAACAATGTCTTCTCCCTACTTCCTCGACTCTCCTTCCAAAACCATTTTTTTCCTTTTCACATTATATATATATATTGACCACAAGTCCTATAGACAAAAATTATACTTTTTACACCCACACACTTTTAAAAGAACTCTTGTCATACCCATATTAGAATCATTGTTTAAAGTATTTATGTAAATAAGGCTAATCAAACATTGATATGTTGTTGTTATTTTTTTTAAAAGAAATTAAAGGCAAGGTTCGAACATAAAATTTGAGACTGAATGCATTTTCTTTTTACCATGTGAACCAATCCCTTAAGAGCCCAAAGCCCACTAGTATAATTTTAATAAAAACACTTGGGCAACTCTTCGTTGATCTTTCCAACGTAGCGTATAGGAAAGTTTCCGAAGTTCCAAGGTTATCATTATTTGCATCAACAAAGTTAAAAAGTGAAACAGAGCTAGCTGCTATTTTTAAACAAATCTCGTGGAGCCAGAATCCATGTATTCCCCGGTGTAAGTTAATGCCATCCTGCAGCGAACATGAGGTCGAACAACAAACTGATAGCTCAAGGACAAGAAGACCAGTTCTTGCTAGATACAGGACATAGTATTATTTGGTCCACTTTCTGATAGATACAGGATTTCGTCTTAGCAGTATCGAGGTTAGAGATGGTGCCATAAACATATACTAGAGGACAAGGAGATGCAAGCATTGCCACAAAGGAGCTATCATGTGGGGGGATCAGAGTTTCTTCCCACATGCTATACATTTACCTGGACAGAGAGGTCGGGTATGATCTTTCACATATGCATTTAAACATGATCACTTGGCATATTAGCCATCAACTAAAGACAGCTCCAAGAATTTAACCTTTTGGGGGCACCCAAAATAACACCATTTCAAACATCAGTTTTCAATTCTAGAGAATTTTGGGATCTAACAAGATTCCCTCTACATTTCCACGTCAAATGGAAGCTTCCAAATTCATTGACCTACAGAAAATCTGGACTGCATGCAGACTTTCTAATAAAGTAACAAATGCATGGTGCCAAGGTAAGAATGATCTATGCTCAAGCTGATATGTTATACTTCAATTGCCAACCTATAATTTAAAGGACTAAAATAAATAGTCAATATGATGCCTCTACCCATTTAATTATTTATACTTCTAGCTGTTTACAATTAGAAAGAATAATAAAATATATTATAAACCTGATCGCTGTTACCCTATGTTATAAGAGAACCAAAGCTTGACGCTACCCAGTTCCCAAACGACAATGAAGAACAGGACATAAAATATGATTGTACTGGGAGAGAACCAAGAGAGAGGCTTCCATCTCTTGAATTCAAACTGCTTGGATGGGACTAGCCTTGCCATTACTTAAATCAGATCCACTGGCTGGAGCACTTGCATGAAATGCAGACTGCCTTGATGGCTCCCCAATTAGTTTCAGGGAAAGTGGTGAAGGCTCCCTGTGGTGTCTCTCAGTCTCTCCTAGATTGAGATGAGACATACCAACCAGTTCATCTACATTAAAAGGCTCCTTGGGAACCATAGGCACTGGCTTCAGGACCTCATGATGCGATGTTGCTGCAAACTTACCTTCTTCAAAGGGGGTGGCACTTGGAGGCCAATAAGGATAGGGAACGGGCAAGTAAGCTGGGAAAAATCCAGGAACTGCTGTGAATTCACTTGACCCTGAAACAGTTGGGGTGAATACGTTTGAACTAGGTACATTTGGATTGAATTCACTCAACCCCATCACAGTTTTATCAGCTTCCTTGAATAGATCTCGAGATTCAGTATCCATGGGTTCAAATTCTGGCTTGAGAGAGAGATTCAATGAAGGTAGTTCATCTACATTATCAGTATCTCCTGCCTGAGAGGATGGCAACTCTTGTTCTTCTGGCACAGGCTGCGGATCCGGGGCCTAAGAAACATATAACAGAAAAAAAAAAGTACAAAATTTCAGTTCTAAGAGTATCAACGAAATTACAAATGTATCAAGCAACTCATCATCTAGCCCTAGCATTAAGTGGCGGGACACTTCTGGGCAAGGGCTAAGCAAAGTTCCTTTCAACGAACAGCAAATATAACTGAAGGGTACAGCAATAAGGACCGGAACAAAAGAAAATTTTGATTAAAAAATCTACTGCATCACTATCATACCAGACCAAGAAGTGCATCTCACCACTTCCAATGAAAGGGTACCAGTTCACCACATCTATTTCATCTCTCTTTTTGACTTTTGGCATTATGTAATTGATCTTCTCTATGCGTGTAACAAAAAGATATAGGATCCCTTCCCCTAACGAGCTAGCTAAACCGAATAACACTGGCATGTGTGTCCACACGGATGCATGTGTTTAATTATAAAAATGTAAAATTAAGATAAAGGAAGCAAGACAGACCAATTCTGGAACCATATCAAAAAGGCTGGACCGTCTCTTTCTCCGAGTGCCATTGCTCTGCCGGATGAAAAATTTTTGAGCATGGCTGGCCACCTGGGTGGGAGTCCTAGATACCACAAAGTTTCGAGCTATTCCACGCCAGTCTCCTTTTCCCAATTTCTGAAGACCAACTAAGAACAACCGATGCTCCTCTTCAGTCCATGGGACACCTAAACATCAAATACAAAATAATAAGCCAACTGCTCCAATAAACTAATAAACTAATACTATGAAAACTTTGACCATCTCAACTAGTAGGTAATTCTATAAAATTACAGTTGAAAAATGACAATCCATGCCTCATCATTCCACTATAATATTTGGAGAAGTCGCACATTATATTATCTGACGTGACAGAACAAGTCGATTTTACGAAACACAACCAGCCAAACACCGCTCTACTTATCCAATAAGAGAGATGCATAGCCGAGAAGCAAAGACGACGCAGTAAGTGAACTATGCATTATTATTATTTACTTATTTATCGTTGTTGCTATTTTGTCTTCCTCTTTTGGGAAAGTGCAGTTGTTGCTTTTATTGGAAAGATAAGCCCAGGGAAAGTGATGTGTGTGATTCAAAATGATCGATTTAGTGGGACAATGACTGAACAATGGACATGCTACCACCAATAATTCAAAACTTGAAAGCCAGATGGTCCCCGGTCAGGGCCATGGTGCTTAGATTGAATGGGGGCATTTCATCAAATGCAGGACATGAAAAAGCAAATGATTGACAGGAATCACCTTAATACAGAGCTAGGCCAATCAAATAGTAGCTCCTATTTGACAGAATAATCTTGTTGGAGTGCATGTCTGCCAATAAATCCAATTGCGAATGTTTACACGCTTGTGTAATATTAATGTAATTGCAACAATCTAAGAGTGAAAAAATTTTCAACTTCCAAGGAAGTATACATTAAACTTAATGGGCTATATTCTCTGCACGCCTTTTATTTTCTATCGACAGAATATAATCAACAAACTACCATTCGTAGATGATTTATAGAAGGTCCCCATTCCCAATCACAATGAGATAAGATACTAACTTTCTAAGCCAAATACCCTTCACCTTCTGATTCAATACCACCATCACTTGGCTAAAGTTATAAAGCAAAGCGCACAAGGATCTTCAAAGAGCAAAATAATTACATGGATCCAGAAGATATTGCTCTAGCAAAGGAAAGATGAGAGATAGATAAGATCAACAGTGATTTCATGATAATCATGATGAGTTGACTCATTAGCACAACGTCTTGCAGTTGCAGTTCATTTATCCCTTTCTTTATTGCGAAAGATTTGATAAACTTAAAAATGTTGGAATCACCTTTCTTAACTGTTGAAGGCGCAAGTCCCTCACACATCCTTAACATTTTTTAGAAAGGGAATTTTCAAGGAAAGCAACAACCTCAATTCGTCCACTACAATTTGACAGCCAAAACATTCGCAACACATGCCTTTACTGAAATTGTGTTTTTGAAATCAAATTGCCAAAAAGATTAAGCAATGAGTTCATCTGCAATTTCTGATTTAACTTTAAGATTCTAATTAAAAAAAAAAAAAACAGAGAAGTCTTCTAAAGCAAAAGGCACCACCTCTAAAGAAATTTGCAGCAAAACCCAAAGCTAGAAAACTGTTTTTTCACCTGAAGATATTTCAAGACAGACTCTAGATTTGACGCAAGGAAAATATATATATAACTTGTGCTTACGATGAAAGAAAATGATAACAAATTCGCATTTGCTGTATGCACAGGTCATGCAAATCTTAAATGATGCAATTGTCCCATATTCTAAAAATAACATATAAATGAAGGAAACAATCTTAAGTTTCAGAGAGACTAAACAATGATGTGTCGCACACAATCTTAATCACTTAATCACAAGAATCTCCGACCAATAAACCAAATGCATTACGACAACGAGCTGTTCGTCTTGCTAGATAAGCCTGAAAAGTTAAGCTGATTGTTCGACTTTTGAGAAGCATTTAACAAAAACGAAAAATAGTACACTAATACTTGGTAGTGGAGTAAACAAAACCATTTTTTTAATCAGTGATTCAAACGCCCTTTCCCTTCCCTTCCCGACCCCAGCTTGGGCTCGCCTATCTTAGCCTACCTAATACTAATATCTCACTTCGATTCCAGGCTTCTTAGAGACTGCTAATTAACCGAGTAACTAAACCTAATTGACACACAAAACCCCCAAAAAATAGTTTAAAACTTCTAACTAACCGACCAACGAAACTTAATTGCACACGAACCAAACAATAATTCTAAATTGTTATTCTTAAAAAAAAAAAAGATAAAGTACAATAATTCTATTACAATTAATTGTATGATTTGTAATATCAAATCGCCTGCGTTATTTTTGGAAACGTATCTAAAAAACCATCGTCAAAAACATCAAAAGAAGATAAAATTAACAACCAAAATAAAACCGAAATTCATAAACAGAAATATATATGTTGATAATAAATAAGAAAAAAAAAAAACCTTTTTTTCTGTCTCCACGACGATTGGTAGAGCAGCTAGCATGGGCAGCGGGGTCATCAGACAAATAGCCGTCAGGTACATGACCCGAATCACGAACATGATCAGATACAGGAGAGTCAGGATTAGGTGAAGCGGCGGCTGATGAAGAGGAATGGTAGTGCGCAGACAAGTTTCCCATACTGGCACTTTTTTTAATAATTGAGCCATCGGTGAGCCTTACGCCGAAGAGCTTCACTCCAGATAACGTAGAAGAGGACGAAGACGCGAGAGAGGAGCGCGTGGGACAGGTTCTAGAATTGTGGCCGTTGTTGCTGCAATGCGAACACCGCCGAGTCATGGTGAGTAGCTCGGCGGAATCAGCGCCGAGTATGGCTGAGTCGGGTAATCAAAAATAAAATTGAAATGAAAGTTTTTATATATAGAGAGATAGAGAGAAAGTGAGAGAGAAAGAGAGTTGCGTGGAAGGGGAGGAGATGAAGGAGGTGGGATTTAATCTCTATTTGTTTGGGTGAGAGAGAGAGAGAGAGAGAGAAGGGTGTTTTGGGAATGCTAGGATAGGATCGATTAGAGGAAAGCGGGGGATCGTTCGTTGAGGCAACTGTTGAATTGACTGTGTTGCCCTTATGATCGGATAATGTTTTTTATTTTTAATGAAAACATTTTTTTATTATCAAAAATGCGATAACATGGTTGGTAGAATTTTTGAAAGGATTATAAAAAGTTTTCTTCATACATTTTCAGGAATTCCCTCCAAATATGTATGGGATATTATTTATTGCTAGATGTTCCAATTTCTCTCATTAATTCGAAAAATTTGTTCACGTTAATTATAGGTATATCTGTTAATGATCATTTTCTTTTTTCTTTTTTTAGTTTTCATATTAAATAGGAAAAAAAATAGCCACAAAAAAAAGCAGTGTAATCTTAATGTTATCTAACTATATTTTAGACTTTCGCTTTTTTTTAATAGCTAAAAATGGAATATTTTGACTAAATTTGTGTAAAAAAGGTTTTCATTTAATAAACAAACGCGCAAGTTATGAAAGATTCCTTCCAATTAAGTAAGATATCGGATCGTATTATCTGTTGTAAATTGTGTTTTACTTTCTCGTATTACCATCTCTCTAGACGAGAAGATGCACAGAGAAGAGTGAGGGCATATTAGCAAATCAGCTGGAAAAAATGTGAAAGGGAAGAAGGTCAATGAAGAGACCAGAACAATTAACAAACCCTAGTGGATGCACTTGCCAACAAAAATAAGCCACGTGGAATTAAGGGCGAGTCCTACTTTATTGTGGGGCCTCGATGCATCATCCATTACCACATATAATTACAGCCATCATTGATGGGAATTTTTTTTCAAAGATCTTCCCAGTCCATAAGAAACAACCAATAATTATGGTGTCTGTCAAAGAAATCATCCGCTCAAATGCTCTTATCACTAGTTGCGATGCATATATTCGGAAAAGGAAGAGTAAATTATAAATTAAATTAATTTTGAAAGAATAAAAAAATTATTTTTTCCATCCATCTCTCTATAATATCTATTTATTATTTTTAAAAAATAAAATAATTAAAAACATAAATTGAATAAAAAGATTAAATAATTAATTTTTAAAAAATAATTAATTTATTTATCAAAATTAAAGAGATTAATTTTATAATTTACTTAAAAAAGACAGACATGAGGCAACAAAAAGTACCCTAGAACACAGTTCCAAATAACGATTGTTGTTTAACCAATTCGAAAATGTCTATTACTATTATTCACCGTTATAAAAAATATAATGGCATTTCACCTAAATAACGCACTATACTCTGTTATTGTTATATAAGTCATTATTTGGTGAATAACTACTGTCATTTAAAAAAAATATTATTTTTGCTTCAAAGAGGTTATTTTTGTTTTTATTTATATTTGTCTTAAATACTTATTTCGTCAAAATTTTAAATATTTTACCTTATTAAAATACCCTTGATTGAAAAAAAAAAATCAATTCTTTTTTTCAATTTTCTGTTCTTCACTAACAAAAATTAATATTTTTTATACTTTTTTCTTATACATGTAAATACCTTAAAAATAAAAAAAAGTATTAGTACATAAAAAATATTCGTTATTATAGAGACTTTACCACATGCTGGAATTTTAAGAGTGAAATATTTCCTTCAGTATGTTATTTTTTTATAATCGTGTTAAACTTTATTAGTAATTAATTAAATTATTTCTCTTTGATTTACCACTTTAATTTTGGATAGATTCTCTCTTTAAATTAATATTAGACCCATGTAACGAAGATTAAATTTTGATAACTAATAATTTTAACAAAAAGGTATTTTAAAAAATATAATAAAAAAATCCGTATATGGTGTAACAATTAATAATTTTCTTAAACTACGTGAAAAATCAAAAGAGACGACTAACAAATTGTTGGATCGATGGTAAACAAACGGGTCTCCAAGGGGATTTTTCGTTAATATGCAAGGTTCGAATCTTAGAGTCATACTTCTTAAAAGGAGTTAAATCTTTCACTTTTGTCCGAACATGATTAGTTTTATCTCTAATATGAAATAAAAATACATGAAGAAAACAAAAAAAAAGGTCGAAAGAGATGATCTTTTTGATTCGAGAGTAATTTTTGTATCTCATCATTGTTGATGTGATATTAAATTACTAAAAGTATAATTATTTTTTTAATAATAAATTCAACTATTATTATATGGTGTTAAACTATTAAAAATATTATTATTATCTTTAATTAATAAATTTATTAAAAATTTATTAATTAAAATAAATTTGTTAGTTGCTAGTAACTTGTGAATGTATGTGACCATTGTTTTATTATTGTGATAAACTATGATTTGCAAATACCATTGTTTTATTACTGTGATAAACTATGATTTGCAATTCGGTTTTACAATTGGGCTGATGATTTAAAACTATTCCCTAAAAAGATATGCAAATGGCAATCTATTCAATCCTAGACGAGGATCCAACCATTCTAAATCAGAAACCTGTTGATGAGATCCGAGGTTGGCACGCAAAACATGCCGGATAAGCCCTGTCAATTTCTGCCCAACAGCTTTCTGATATCACAAATAAGAAGCCAATGAGGATGGCAACTACTGCAATCACTAGTTATTAAATGGATTGCTTCCAAACAGTCCGACTCAAGCGATAAACTCTGATAACCCATTCTCCAAGCCATAGCAACCCCATATTCAATCGCTATCCGCTCCACCATCGTATTCGCAGTAAAACCCACATAGCAAGAAAAACCTGTCAACCAATTACCCATAGTGTCTCTGATAAGCCCTGTCAAACAAATTCTACTCCTGCCCCCACACCGATCCTAAATGTTGGAATGAGTTAAACCCCACGCAACTCTAAAGTTGCTAACCAAAGAGAAGGAGGCAATTTTTCTGGGCTCTGCAGCTTCCAAGTCCAGTTCATACCCTGATTGCTAACAAGATCACACTGCTGAGACAGCTAATGGTAACCAGACTTGGCACTATAATCACCATTGTTAGAGAAAAACCCCGTATACGTTTGTCATTGCACCTTAAGAGAGAAGAAAGAGGTATTGACTTAAAACACTAATCCTTGAAAGATGTAATTGGTAACATATCTATTTTTCTTCTTATCCTCAGGATATTTTATACCTAAATACTCAGATTAATTCTTTATTTTTTTTTCATCGGGCACACCAACTGGATACAATTACTTTAAAAAAATTACAAAAAAACTTAAAATCGAAACTACGAAACTTCTTTCCATTTAAATAAATCATCTTTGATTGTAACATATCTATATTTTATTATACACGAAGAAACTAATCTAAAAAAACCCCTAACTTTCAACCATGCTCTCCAAATAAAATGATAAGATATGATGCGGGTTCGTTGCAAAGATTGTGTGTATATCCTGAATATCTTTTTCATTCGGTTTTGATTTATATAAAGTTGCTTGAAATATGAATTCGGGTCACATCAATAAAGCAGTCTAAAGTACCATCTTGACCTTTTACCTCGATAATATTGCACTGGCAGCTGCTCCATAGTGGATAATATTCTAAATTATTTCTAAACTTTTTTTACTAATATAAAATATTTCTAGATAAGCTTTTAGTTCAATACTTTCTGTTCTTGGGATTGGAAACGGGATAGATAACGAATTTTGAAATCGAGTCCCTGTTATGACTGTGTTTTTCTGAAAGAAACTCGGAGTCTTCGTCGTTCTAGGTATTTTTCTTTTTATAATAAATAATTTGCTTATAGATCGATAATATGCATTTAGTTCTTAATTTTTTAAGAGGTTTAAAATATTATTGGACCAGATTTTTTTTTCATTGGACCAACTTTCTTATATGGAAATTAATTTCTTTCTCAAACGAGTATTAACTAAATCATCTATACTTAGATTAAAATGCCATATTGATGAAAGATTTCCTTTTTTTATGAATCTCTGCATTATAACGAGCGATTTTACTTTGACTTTTCTTTATCAGAAAACTTTATTAAATTTAGAAAATGCGTCATTCTCTTACTCAAAAAAGTAACCAACGGTTTGCTATTTTTTTTTTTTTTGTTAATATCATAAAATTAATTTTTTTTAAATAAAATAATTTCGAAAAGATACATCCACTGATTTATATACAGTCTTTTATATTTTTATGTCAACATTATTGATTATTTTGTGAATAAATATATATCATTCAAATGTATACGTTTTTTAAAAAAATAATATTTTCATTAGTATTAAATATAAATAAAAAAATATTTTTTATACAATATGATTAAAAATATTTTTTATGACATGTTTTTAAATTTTAAATTAAATTTTTGTTTTAGATTATTATAAATTTTTATTTAAAAATCAATGCATAAAAAAAATAATTCATGTTTGTCTGAGTTGAAAAATTATGAATAAAATAAAAAATAATTAAAAACATGATTTTAATTAAAAAATACAATTTTTTTTTTAATTTTTGATTCAATATGGTTTTATAAACCTGTAATATAATGTTAATTATCAAACTGAAATAATTATACCCGATATACAATACGAATAATCAATTAGTTATTGCCTTAAGAAAGAGATTTCAACTCAAGACATGAAAGTATATATGTATAAGTTTTAAGAACACACCATGTGATACTATAACTTTAACAACGAGTTTTAATGATTTATTAATACAACAAATGTTCAAGGTTTACATGGTTTCACGCAGGGCAAGAATTTGATTGGTACGTTGTGATTTTTAACTACAAGTGTTTTCCTTTCTGAAAAAACCAATGATTAGCTGCTGGGGAAGAAATAAGAACAACACAATTTTCGAATTGCTTGGCTATTACCTGGTAGGGATCCATTCTTGACTTAAAGAGAGGAATAATGGTTATCTAAAACTACGATAAATTAAAGAACCTTATCCTAGAGACAAAAAAATAACAAAGTTGATTTTGTACGGACACGTGAAAGGCATTGGACGGGGCATTTTGTGCCACGCGGCAGCATGTGCTTCTTAAGGAGAGAGAAGATAGATGGAAAATCAAGCACTGCAGCCTGTATTATCTCCTGGAAGATTATCAGACTACTAGATAACAAAAGAGCCACCTTTCTATCCTTTCTATGAAGAAAATGATAATGCTAGCTAAAGTATGTTACCTTCAGTCGAAAGGGTATTCAAGGAATCTTCTTGGCTTTCTACACAAGAAATACTCCTATACGACTATTGAGATGGGAGGGCATGGAATTCCAATAGTGCATATAAACCAATGACTATTGGAGTAAATTATAAATTAATTTCTATGTTTCTATAAACCAATTAATTAATCCTTCTCATTTTAAAAATTAATTATTTAATATTTATAACTTGAAATCTATTTTTAATTTAGTTATTTTTACTCTTATTTTAATTTTTTTGTTTTAATAAATATAAAAAAAATATGTGAAAACATTGATAAGAAAAAAAATTAATTTAAGCATGATCAACGCTTATTAAAAGATTAAATAATTATTTTTTTAAAAAAGAAATTAATTAGTTTGTTTATTAAAACTAGAGGGACTAATTTATAATTTACTCATGACTATTGCCCCATATCTTTTTTTTTTTTTTTTTTTTTGTAAACTTTTCCATATAGGTAGTTCTTTTATTAGTAAAAATTGTTTTATTGAGTCCTTCTTAACCACATAATATCACATCACATCGTGTTCCTCGACTTCAAAACTTTATTGAATGTTAATTTTTTTCATATGCTTTCTTTTGTTGAATTATATCGCTATACCTGGAATGAAATTTTTCTTTTAGCAGAATTTTATTTTGGTAAAATATCAAATAATTTAGAACATAAGGAAAAAAATGATAAAAGGTCGAAATTGTAGGAATAGCTTAGCGTTTTTCCTTGATTAAAAAATAAAACGACGATAGCCATATACCAATAATTGGTGTTTGTTGAACTGGAACAGTAAATTACAGTTTCTTTTGAAAAAAGAAAAAGAAAAAGTTACAGCGCTTATTTATCCAGAATTGATGTTTGTTGGATTACCATAATAGTTTACGGTTTATTTATTAAAAAAAACACTTTGACGGTAGTCATAGAGTCCATTACTTTTGTTTACGCGTGTTGCTAGAATCAATCGATTGGTCAACAGCAAAGGGGATAGTCATTTTCACCTCCTTGACGTCTCAACTTCCTTTTGACAAAATCAACCTATCTTCATTCAACTTGATTACTGCATGTTCAATCTTTATTTTCTGAGTTTTAATTTCTTTCTATTATTTGTAATCAATCTCTCACATTTTCCATGAAGCTATTTTTAAAGGAGAATTTTTATAATATTAAAAAATAATTACTATACATATTCAATAATTACTTTATGAATTTATTTAAAAAAAAGAGATAGATATATAAAAAAAATCATATATGAACTTACTAAAAGTGATAAAAAATTTTCATATTGACTCAATTTTATTTTTTTCAATTTTCTCTCTAATTTTTTTATTATATATATATATATATTTTTTTTAATGAAGTAATTTATATTAATTATTCTTTGAGTATTATAATTTTTTTTAATTTTTGAGTACACTTTGTAGTGATAAAAACCCAGGTCAACTCTTTCGGCTTCCAGCATACATGAAAATTTTCTTTAACCAGAATTTTATTCTGGTAAAATATCAAATAATTTAGAACGAAAGGAAAAAGGAAAATGATAAAAGGTCGAAATCGTAGGAATAGTTTAGCTTTTTTCCTTGATTAAAAAAAGCGACGATGTCCATATACCAATAATTGGTGTTTGTTGAACAAGAACAGTAATTACAGTTTCTTTAGAAAAAAAATTACAGTGCTTATTTATCCAGAATTGATATTTGATGGATTACCATAATAGTTTACGGTTTATTTATTAAAAAAAAACACTTCGACGGTGATCATATATCCATTACTTATGTTTACGCGTGTTGCTAGAATCAATCCATTGGTCAACAACAAAGGGAAATAGCCATTTTCAACTGCTTGATGTCTCAACTTCCTTTGACAAAATCAACCTATCTTTATTCAATTCGGTCACGGCATGTTCAATCTTTATTTTCTGAGTTTTAATTTCTTTGTATTATTTGTAGTCGATCTCCCTCGTTTTCCATGAAGCTCTTTTTATGGGATGAATTTTATAATATTCAAAAAATAAATAGCATATATATGTAATAATTACTCTATATGTTCACTTAAAAAAATAAAAAATTATATGTTCATTTAAAAAAAATACACGTAAAAAAATCATATTTATACTCATTAAAACTGATAATAAGATTTTTATGTTAACTCAATTTTTTTTAATTTTTTCTTTTATCTATCTCTCATAAATTATTTTTTTAATATTATAAAATTTCTCCTCTTTAAAGACCGCTAGGAGATTTTATAACCTCCCTGCAGTGATAAAAACCCACACCTACTCTTTCCGCTTCTAGCATCCATGGAAAGGCATACAGGGATAGGATACCCAAATGGGCATATAGCGACTAATTAAGAGAATTTTATAATACATTAAGAGTAAATAATGATATATATAGTAATTACTCTATTGACTCATTTTGAGGAGAGAGATAGATAAAAAAAAAAAATTACATACACACTCATCAAAAGTGATAAGAAGATTTTCACGTCCACTCAAATTTTTTTATTTTTTTTCTTTTTTTTTTTGTCTATCTTTCTCCTTAAAGTGAACTAATAAAAGTAATTATTATATATATCACTAATTACTCTTGACGTATTATAAAATTTCTCACCGATTGTATCGTTGCAGCATCTCGAGGAAGAAAATGAACCACTAGATGATGATGACATTCTTCTAGGTTTGTTAAAATACTATGTAAAGTGAGGGATTTATGTAGAGAAGAATTTTTGTGGAGAGAAAATTGTGCAGAGCCATGGTTAGGGTTTTACGTGGAGAGGAATTTTTGTTGGTTATTTACACGTGTTTCAATTTGGGACAAGAAGGAAGAGAAAGTGTTAATTGTGAATTTATATACGTCAGTGTTTTACAAACATACATTCCCCTTGCTTTCTTTCATTTATCAAATTATCTGATATTTTATAAAAAAAATAAATTTCATTCCACGTGTCGCAATAAAATTCGTCAACAGTTAACTACTAACAGGGTCAACAAACGAAAGTGGACAGAGAATTAATATTGAATAAAACTTTATGTTAGTAGAGGGATCTAATAAAAAAATTTACGTAATATCGAGATATTTTTGAATCAATTATACATTAATCAAAATTAATATATTTTTTTTAAATGATCTTCAGACCATACCTCTCTCTCTCTCTCTCTCTCTCTCTCTCTCTCTCTCTCTGAACAATCTTAAAAACGAAGGAAATTCGCATTTCTGAACATGAAGGCCAACTCTTTAATTTATTCATATCAATAAATGTGTCATCTAATACATTATAATAAAGGGATACTGTATACTATCAAAAGATTATTACCATCTTTACTGGCTGTTATCTCCTAATTGAAAACACTTTTGAGATTTGCACTTATCCGTGTCTTTTAGTAAATTACAAAAAGATAGGGCCCCCGAGTTGATAAAAAGCATGTCCCCATAGTATTTAATTGTTTTTGTTGGATTTAATTAATTAGCAAATCCTAGATTAATAAATTGACAGTTTTGACTAAAACCGCGTCCACCAATCCCTAGCCCAAGCAAAATATCCAGCCGCCCTTGTCATCGCTAATTTATAAGTTACCAAGGGGTCTACATCAAACCACATGTATTATTTGTTGAAAAAGAGAGAGAGAGAGAGAGAGTGGATGAAAAAATTCCCTCAATAAATACGATTTACATCTTCATTATTTAATTTTTATTTTCCGTTTTCATTAGATAATTTTTCTTTATTGCTATTTTATATATATAAATAATGAATCCGACAATAAAGATGACATATGTCTCTATAAACTCTCCATTCAAAAAAAAAAAAAAAGATGGCATGTGTCCATTTATAGATATGTCATCTACAATTTAATAACTGAGACACTTAATTGAAAAAATTAAATATATATATATATATATATATATAGAAAAATAAAAATACATGATCGGAGTATAAATATTCAAATAGAAAATATTAATTAAAACACTGTAAGCACATAAACACCGAATTTTCAAACACGTATAGATAAACACACACGCACTTGGCTCATCATCTGCCCATAAAACTAATAAACTCATACACAGAAAATCAAAGTTGCAGCCAAGCAATCAATAATAAAAAAAGACATCAAAGCAAAACACCAAATGTTGTAGGAAAGGTTCACAAAAACACAATGTTATAGTCACATTTTCAGAAGAGTTTTTCTAGCTGTGATCCTAGACGATAATCACATCAAGCATGAAACAAGGGACGCGTATGATAAAATATTCACCTCCATTTTATAGTCGGAATGAAACACGTCACCGCACACATATTCTTTGTCCATGTCACCCACAATATCGTAAATGAACATATGATTTGGATTAAATTCTTCTCTATATGTTTTTGATGTTGCAAACCACTGTCAAGAATGGAATGTAATTTGGATTGGATTCAATACCTACACCTTTCCCTTTCCATACTAAATCTATTTTTCTGGTTGGAAAAAAACAAAGAATTGCATTATTTTATTTTTGCACATACAATCCATGTGCTAAAATAGCTAGGTAATTAAAAAGCAACAAGCCAAAAGGAGATTAAGAATTTCTATGGTTGTAGAGAGGGTTGGACAGATTAAAATCCAACCTCTAAATTGAAATTTTGACAACAGATGGTTTGTCATGAAATTTCGGCAACATCATACAAGCAGCAAACCCTGATGTCCTCTAGACATACTTGTGTCCTATTTGCTCAGGAGTTTAGAAGACCGACGGCATTGGACCGGAACTCGGCTTTGCTGTATATCTTTCAAGCCCAAGTCCACTGAACCAAGTTTTCTAGCTATCGTTGGTTGGATCTCATAGATATCTGGAAATTTTTATTTACTCTACACGGAATCCAATGAACACTTTAAGTGTGACTTTTCATTTCCACGTAAAATTGTTTTTTCACGTCTTCGACAACTATTTTTCATGCTATCTGCGACAGCAGTCGTCAAACCACCTACCGTTACATCCTTCTTACCCACCAAATGCCTAACAGAGTTAATAGAACAGAACTCTAAGAAGAGCAAGAAGGCAAAAAAATAAAATAAAAATAAAAAACAAATGGAAACTTGGCTGATTGTGGGATTAAAAGTGAACTTTTCTTCTTTTTTTTTTTCTTTTTTTCCCGAGCCTACGATTGGTTTGAAGTTCGAACAACAAACAAGAGAAACTCCCATTCACTTCACCGATAGCTTCGATAAGCAGGGCTGTACATACAGCTCTCAGCATACTTGACCAGATCCTTTGGTGGAGGAAGGCGAGTAGCCAAACCTACATAAAGCAAAATAGTGAAGTTAATAAATATATAAGTTTTGGATAATGATCATATGAGCAGATTGCAAAAGTACGAACCATAACAGAAAAAGGAAAAAAGACTCACCAAGTTCGTAAGCTTTAGCAGCCACTTTAGCAGCAATATCTGCCGAAATCTGCCTGATGTTTTTGAATGGAGGGTAGATAAGTCCCTTCTCAAAGTTCTCCTGGGTCACCTGAGCAGCCAAAGCTTCCGCTGTACCAGGGAAACCAGCAGAAACAAGCAATCGATTATCATTGGAAAACTATACCCCTAAACATCCTGACCTTGAGAACTAGAAGTAGAGAATAAATTTGTTCCCAACTCAGAATCATGTGATCAGTCCGTGGGGAATATATATGTGTGTGTTGGGAGTTACGAGGGGAGTTCCATTTTGATAATAAGACCTAGTTATTTATTGTGATGGCAAGTACGATGAAAAATTTGCATCAAGATGTAGGCGACATTCAAACTTCTAGTTCGCTCACCAGCTGCCAGTAGCATATCATCATGGACACGGATTGCACCAGACATTATTACACCCAGACCAAATCCAGGGAAAATGTATGCATTGTTTGCCTGAATGACCGCAAAAAGTTAAAACCAAAATCAATCCTCAATTTATCAAATAAATAAACTAAATGAATATCAAATTCTAGAGACTTCCTACCTGGCCAGGCACAAAAGTTTTACCCTCATATTCAACAGGAGCAAATGGGCTTCCACTAGCAAAAATGGCACGCCCCTGAAAGTAACAAAGAGCGAGTTTTCATAATTGTTAAAACAGCCAATCATATAAATGAAGGACAGCACATCAAGCAAGAACCATAAGAAAAAAGCTTTCCTAGGGAGGAAAGCCTTGATAATTTTAATTTCTCATTGATAACATGTTGGCTGTTCATATTACCTGACTCCATGTATAAGCTTCTTCAGCGGTACATTCAGATTGTGAAGTTGGGTTGGAAAGAGAAAGAATTATAGGTTTCTGCATGTAGTCATATAAAATATGGTTACTAAGAGCACGCTCTCCAACATAAAACAAGATGAGCAGACAAACATTTACCTCGTTGAAGGAGGCCATGGCTTCAACCACTTCTTTGGTAAATGTTCTTCCTACTCCTGATGTTCCAATCAACACTGTTGGCTTGATGTCCTGATGATACAAGGCAATAAAAAAGAAGAGACTAAGACATATTTGCTTAAAAGATGGGGAAAGAGAGAGAGAGAGCATACGTTAACAGCATCTAGAAGTGTCTTAATGGGTTCATGCTCATGAGCCCAGGGCTTCTTGAAATGTTGGAGTGATTCCCTGCGGGAACTAACAATCAACCCCTGCAAAGGAAATTGTGTGAATATTTAACTGGTAGAAATAAATCAAAAGGAAAGAGGAAAGGACATTCTACACCAAACAGATAGAAGCCAAAAGGTTTGCACTACCTTGGAGTCTACAAGCCAAATCTTCTTGCGAGCCTCTTCCACTGGCATATTAGTCTGCACAAAGAATCAGTACAATTCATAATTGTCCAAGACTTAACATCTAATGCTTTCAGGAATCATATCCAAGGAGCAAATTGTGAAGAAAAAAGGGAGATGCTATTAGACCTGTTTGGACATCTCAAGGGCTATAAGTTCAGCAATTCCAGTGCCAGCCTGTAATCAGATGACATAAAATGAAGAGCAAGGAAAATGGCAAGATGAGTACAATATTAAAAGAATCCTGCATATGTGGTCGTAATTGAAGGCAAGGAATTTGTACTTTTTCTTGTTGACTGAGTTACCTACAAATTTCCCCATTTATTTCAAAAGTTATTGGCAAAGCGAGAGAGGATCATGCAGTACAGCCCAATAAAAACTCACCTCTCCAGCACCAAGAAATAAGAATCTGTGGTCAGCTAAAGTTCCACCAACTACCTTTAGTGCTGCAACAAGCCCTGCAAGGACCACAGATGCAGTGCCCTGAAATAAAGAAAATTAGACATTAGAGCCCTGTCCATCCCAATTGTTCAAATAATCACATATAGATAGAATTACCTGAATATCATCATTGAAAACAAGATGAGTTGCGCTATATTTTGCAAGCAGATCAAAAGCATTGTGGTTTGCAAAGTCTTCAAACTGCAAAGTTTAAAAAGCAGAATTTATTTTATTTTATTTTTTCGAAATATACATACAAGCATAGAAATAAATATAAACAAGTCCTCTTAAACCATAAAGACCTGAATAAACAAGTCAACAAAATGTAATCAAGAGTCATAGATGTCTCCTATGGTCAACTACCTGAACGAGGACTTTCTCACCATAGGTCTGCTTGACTGCAGACATGAATTCATGCATCAGTTCAGCATATTCCTGGACAAAGAAAGAGTAATCCCACTTCAATACAACAGAAAATTATGTATAATCTGTAAATGAACCTCATATATATCAAGGAAGACTGGCCACATCAAGTGAACATATTTAATACCTGTCCAGTTGCTCTTCTTTGCCTGAGCCCTATATAGAACTCGTCGTTTAACAGATTCTCATTGTTTGTCCCCACATCAATTGTTACAGGTAAGCACTGCAATAATTAACCCGATTTGACATTGTTTCAATTTTACATGGAAATTACAAAAAAATGCAAATGACGTTACATTACATCAAGTGTCAAATTATCTACAATATACACATGATAATCAATAAAGAAAATCCATCGACAACTACAACACCATTAGCCTATTTTACTGAATGATGGCAACAAACCAATGTGCTGTGATAGCATTGTGTAATTAAGACATTCAGGAAAATGCAAAAACTTGCTGGAAAGACTAGAATAGAGGTGCCAGACCCAGAAATTTTCAATGGAATACTAGTCAATATAGATGGAAAAGGCAGCCCCATCATATAACTTCCGGATGTGCATTAAAATGGAAAAAAGGACATGAAAAGCAAAAGGAAACTAAAAAGAAAAAAAGCACTGTAGTGGTAGTACTTACAGCTGAAGGACGAACTCCACCAAGTGCTGTATACAGAGCCAGTTTCCCTACTGGTATCCCCATACCCTACAAATATCAGTCACCAAAGAAATCAGCTACATGCATTCGTGCATATGAAAGATGTTCAAGTGTGTTAAAAAGAGTGCATTCAGATAGAGCTCACCTGACAGCCTAGGTCACCTAGGCCCAAAATCCGCTCTCCATCAGTGACAACGATAACTTGAATGTTTTTCTCAGGCCAGTTCCGCAACACCTCATGAATGCTACCCCTGAAAACAACGGTTTTATTAGCTTCATCACGGAGAGTCAGAAAGCATTTGTCCAAAATAAGTTACTGAAATTTGATCAAGTAGCAATAGATTCTATGGAACTTACTTCTCTTTCAAACTAATATAAAGACCCTGAGGACGACTAAAGATGCTCCCATACTTTTGGCAAGCTTCACCAACAGTTGGAGTGTAGACAATAGGGAGCATTTCCTCAACATTGTCAATGAGAAGCTTGTAGAACAATTTTTCATTTCTCTCCTGCAATTAGGGTAGTGCCTTATTTCACATTCTCCACCAAGCAAAACTTGAGATTTAGCAGTACAAATTATGCTCCTAATTATTTTTAAAGCTAATGATCTTTGCTAATAGCATCACTTGTGCTGCAGAAATGAATGCCATATGCTACTAAAGAAACTCTGTTTCTTAATCTAGATTATTTTGCAATAACCTAGAATCAATGATGGGTCTATGCCTTGCTCTTATATCAGTTGATTGAAGACAACCAAATAACACAATGATGCCTCTGAATATTGAATCATGATCCCAAATACAAAATTTAAAGCCCAGGAATCAGAGGGAACCGTGTGGCTACCTGAAGATCCATCATAGCCATGTACTTCTGCAATGGAACTTGATATTGGCGAATAATATGCATCAGTTTCTTCACCTGGCAAGTAGAGTAGCAAAAAGGTTCATTGCATTTTGTATAAAACAAAAACCTACAAAGAAGGTTAAAAGAATAGGTGGTAAGGTGAAGTAGTGAAATAAATAACCTGGACGTCCTGAGAAATGACTACTGGGGGAAGCAGGCCACGCAAGTAGTGGGCACCTCTCTCTTTTCAGAGAAGGCAAGCCCTTTGTTGTGGTGTGGATCTCGCAACAAAGAATACCCACTGTAGCACCAAAAAAAAAAAACAAATAGAAAAGCAAAGTTAGCAGAAGGAAACAGCATGTCTTTCTTGTTTGGTTTTGGTGTTCAAAGTTACTGCATTACTTAGATAACCAGCTGCAACAACTGGCAATTTAGCCATGTAAATATCTAAAAACCCACCCCACCAATCTCGAAGGTTGGTATCCAAGACCTCCAAGTGGAAATCATAGTGGAATATTCCACATCTACTTGAGAAATGCAAACCAGCAAAACTACTACAATGTTCAACACATAATAGGAAAAGAAAACCATAAAAGAACAAAACAACCATGATTAAGTAGAGTTAAGAGTCCAACCAACTATAGTAAGTTGGTAGGACAAACTGAAAAAGTCACCAAATCATTAACCTCTGCAAGGCATATATTATAATTATTATTTAAATTAACAATAAAACAAGATCTCACAAAAACAATAAAGAACCATCAAAGGAATCACAACCCCTTCAGCATAGGACAGAACAAAGTATTATGTCTAAACGATTCCTTGTAAAATCACCAAATCATACCGACAGTTGCAATTTAGCCCATTTTAAGCATAGCAAAGCAAATGCTTTGACTTTTACTATAAGCAACATCTAAAGCTAAAAACATCGGTATCATCGCTATCCCAAAAATTAGAGGGGAAAAAAATACGAAAAGCAGTGCAAGTATTACAGAGAAGAATACTTGGTAAAAATTGGCTATTAATTATGAGTACCTTCAGTATTAGATTACCTGGCAACTGAGACAAACCAAGGGGTGACAACCTGCTCCTCAGTGGCAGCATCCTCACCGTAAACGTCATGGGCCCCACCTGGAGCAACGGTTGATTTGGAGTCGACGTCAATCACAGAAGCGGCTCCATCTTTCACGTCCTTGAGGGTGCTCTCCATCAACACGCTGCCGTTTCGATCCCTATTGGAATTGACGGCCACTACCCTCAATGAAGAAGGAACTGACGGGGCTGATCCTCTCTGCCTCCCCGAGAAAGGGCTACTCGAGCTCGAAATGCCCGCCTTATTCTGCTGCACAAAAAAAAAAAAAACACTCAATTCCCTTTTCTTTTAAAATACGAGATTAACAACAACAGTAATAATTATCTGCTCAAAAGAAATAAATAACAATAATTAAACAATTATTATCAATAAAATCAAATCAATGCCAAGATATGGAAATCAACTATCCAAATCCCATCAATAAATACTCTTGCCAAAAATTTTTAAAAGAAGACAAAAGGAAAAACCCAAAAAAAGAAATTAGCAAAAAACATAGAAGAAGATCAAAGATATCTGATGATTTACATGGTGAAATGCAGAGCAAATCTTGATTTTTCATAACTATTAGAAATGGATTTCCTCTCGTCTTGTTTGTGTTTGTTACAGTGAGAGAAATGGTGAAGAACAATAGCAAGAGAAATGAGAGTTAGGATTAAATTATTTACCAGAAAGATGCTACTATTCAAGGACATCATGTTGGCGAGTGAATGTAGGAAACACACGGCCTTTTCTTTGGCTAGCTTTCTCTCTCTCTAGAAAGAAGAGCAGACACAAACAACTTCCTCTCTCTCGCTATCCGTCTTTCTTTCTTTCTATAGAAAGATTTTTCAAGAAAGAGAATAACAAAAACAGGGAGAGGGTCTTTCGGGATATAAATAGAGAGAGAGAGAGAGAGAGCTTCTTCCTTGCTGGTGTGCGTCTCTCTCTCTCTAAAAAAACGAAGTCCGAGCAGACAGAGAAGAGAGAGAGAGATCAGAGAATTTGCAAGGAAGGAGGCTTTAAAACGTGTCTTAACTCTTCAACTCTCTATCTCTCTTTATAAGATGACATGTGGGTTAATGGTTTGTTGTGGGTCCCATATATACAGTACTTGGGTCTGTGGGCCCATTGGGGATTCTTTGTATTTTTGGTAGGTTTTGGATTTGTGGTTGCGATCCTGAGGTTAGAGGTGATGGTGACGAGGTGGTGTTCTTGAATCCAAGGGTAGAGGGATGGCTTTTATGATGAAGTGACACTTGATGCTCCTCGCCCCTTATTCAGATGGCGGAAGAGCCTTGGATTGTGAAAGGAGAAATGGCACGCCATGTGGATGATTTTATTTATTTAGTTAACTTGGTTTTAATTTAATTTCATTGAGTTAATTGAACAAATGAAATCAAGAAGTATTATTAGTTGAGTGAAAAGTAAATTTATATCTACAAGTGAGCATTATTCTATTTAAACTGAGAAAAACCAACCCAAATTTATGGGATTTTTTAATAGAACCAGATTTTTATTTTTGAATTTTAGTTTGTCTTTTTGAATTTTTGGTCGAACAAAGACTAATAGAATTTTCTCTTTTCTATATAGAAAAATTACACATAACTCTATTCTTGAAAGATAAGTCACTGATAAATTTGATTATATTTTTGTTAAATCAATAAATTCAATTTTAAAGTTTTTTAATTTTTTCCTATAAAATCCTTAAAAATTATTTGAAAAATTGGTATTTATCCTCTCTTTTCTTCTTAGAAGAAACTTCATGGACACGAACTTTTATTTTTTTTTTTTGCGTGAAGCATTTTTTATATTTTTTAAATCAAATATTTATAATCGTACATTTTACTCTAGTTAGCTAAAATCCTTAGAAAAAGTTTAACTAACCTCATTATGCTACTGATGATTAGACTTTTTATTTTTGAAAACAAGATTTACAAATATGAAGAATCATATTATCTATTTCACCGTCATAATTTGATTTAAATATAATCAATACATAAAAAATAGATTACAATTATAAACTATTTTACAGGTGAGATAAATTAACATCTAAAAAAATTATTATGAAGAGGAAACTAAAAAAAATAGTCAGTTGATTTTTTTTAAAAAAAGTACATGAATAGGATAATATTGCAGTACAATTAAATATGATTTTCTTAAAAAAAAAAAAAAAAAGTAAACGTTTTGGTATTAAAAAATTAGCATTGCTGATTTGTATTTCAAAATTGAATTTATATGTAATTTCCCCGGTAGGTATTTTTTATGGTTTTTTAAAGGACTTGCTTATTTTGGGATCTTTATTAGTAATTTAATTTCCCCAATGGTGTTTGATAAAACTGAAAATTAAGTACTAAATCTATTAAGTACTGAATTTTAAGTGCTTGAATCTGTTAAGTACTCGAATATGTTCCCGACAAGTCGTTTGGTATTTACTAAAAATTAAGTGCTGAATATAATAAGCATGTTTGAAGATGATAGAATATATATGATATTTTTTAAGATTTTAGTTTGAACATATGTATCCGATTATATTACTCTTACTGTTTAAATTTTATTTTTTTCAATTATTTTTTTCTTACTAAAATTTTCATCAAATTAATTTTTGATATAATTTTATTTGTTAATAAATTTGATTTTTTAATATATGAATTTTGGAATAAAATTTTATAACGTCGATGTTTTATTTTTTTAAAATATATTATTATAATTTATATAATTAATTATTTTTATGCTTTTCAAATGAGTATTTTATTTTTCAAAATATATTATTATAATTTATAAATTCGATATATATATATATATATATATATATATATATATAGAGAGAGAGAGAGAGAGAGAGAGAGAGAGAGAGAGAGTATATTTTAAATAGTTTGACTTAATCGGATAAGTTAAAAATTTTAGCTTATCCGATTAAATAGATTTTAATTGAACTTAAAGTTTTAATATGAGATAATTTAAGTTATCAAATAAGATTTTTATATTAAATAGTACAATTTAATTTTTTAAGTTACTTAATTAGGTTATCAAACACCCCCGAGTTACAAAATAAATTAATTTCTTGTTTTGGTTATTAGCAGGAGTATGCTATTCAAAGTTCCCATGAATAAGTAATGGTGTATATAATAAATAAATCAAGAATTCTGCGTAAAAGTTCAATTTGTTCTTGGAGGATAACCATCGCAAACTAGGGATCGATATTTGATCTCTACGATAATATACTAGAAAAAAATATTATATGATGAGTCGATGACCACGTAAGCATAATAAATAATTGTCCACGAATTTATCAAAATAATAATAATAATTGTACGCGTAAATATACTGTTTTCTGAAGCTATCCATTAGCTTTAATATTTTAACCCTGCGTACGCGTAAATATACTGTTTTCTGAAGCTATCCATTAGCTTTAATATTTTAACCCTGCGTACCATTCGTATCGTTTTTCAATTAATCTGAAATCATCTCAAAATGTTATTTTAGGTGATAAATAGGAAAACTCATTCAACTTACGATTTTAGGTGAGTTTCGTCGCTGATTTTTCAAAAAGATAATATGCCTACGTTTTATTGGCTCTGTTTATAACAATACCTTAAGTATAAATTCGAACATATTGCGGTTAGTCTACTTATACAGTCATTTAATATATATATATATATATATTATTTGAAATTTGTCAAGAATGACTTGTGCAAGTGTGACACCAAATATAGTAAATTGACTAGCAAATTTGTCTCTCTTGGTTGCTTGGGATGTTGTCTGGCGTGTCATTGTCTTTGTCAACAATAGATGTTACAAAATGGATCGATGTTGTCTAGCGTAACAATGTATTTGTCAAAAATAGATACTACAAAATGGATCGATTAGTTAATCTTTTTGTCACCATATAATTTGTTTAAACATAATATCTGATGAAACATAAGTTTTTGTAAGATTAAAGTGTTGAATCAATATGTATTAAGTAATGTGTAATCAACGAGTAAAGTTTTGATACTATTAAATCAATATTTTAGTTCATCAAATGATGTTCTTTTGATCTATCCAAAATCTTAGAACAAAATATAGTTACTGAAGTTATTTATCATAGTCCAAAAAGGATTGTGTTAAGTCGAAGAGATTTCAATCACTTAAGTAACGGTTTTGAATCCTTATATGCATCAAAAAAACTCTTTGAATACCTCTATTTATCTTGTGCGTCCAACCGTACAGCAAGAGATTAATCTATACATTCAGACTTAAAATGCCCCGAGGATTAAAAAAAAAAAATCATTTATCTTATTAAAAAAACAACAAAACACGCACGCGCGTGTGTGAATAACTCAATTTTGTCATCTACTATTATAATATTTAATGGACTTTAAATAATTTTATAATTACAATATTTTTATTCAAAGTTTTGGCATCTATGTTGTTAAAAACCTCAATATTATTTATTTAGTTTTGTGATCTTTGATGGAATTAAACGAATATATTCTACACAAAATGCATTGTATAACAAATATAATAAATAACTACAAGATTATTATTATTATTATTATAAAAAAGTTCTCAATCTATATGCAAATCTTGTATTTTTATATATTTTAAATTTATCAAGGTTGATAAAAATTATTTTTAATTCTTATTTCATGCTTACGAGAAGATTTGTATTTTAAAATCACGTGCATTTAATTTTGATATATTTATTCATAAAATTATCAATAATATTAGAATAAAAAATCGTACTTGAATAATTGATTGGTTTTGAAAAAGATAATTTTAATTATCTAATTTGAAAAAAAAAAGATTCCATAACATCCATAAAATAAATAGTAAATAGTATGTATTTTGTGTTTTTGCATATTTAATTTCTATTAAAACTAAAAATTATATATATTACATGATAACTATATTTAGTAGGATTTGGAGTTTACAACATAAAAAGAAAATAAAAATATTAAAACGAAAATTTTAACTTGTAAGTAATACATTGAATAAATTTAAAATTAATGGACTAAAATACAAGTTATTACAAAATTAATTGCGATAAATTTTGATTATATAAATAAGTAGCAAATAAAACGCATGAAATTCTTTTGTTTCTTCTTAAATATATTTTTTTTAATCCATGCATAATCAGTCCTCATGCATAGGCTTTGCTTGCAAAGATATGATTTAAAAACTTTAAGAATTCATCATATAAATTATCTCATTTATTTTTTTAAAGAGAAAATTATAATGTTCTAAAATTTTATTCAAAAATTCATACGTAGATTAAAAAAAAAACCATATTTGTCCATAAATAAAATTTAAAAAATAAAAATCAATTGGATGAGAAATTCTATAACAAATGATAAATTGAAAGAATAAGTTTTCGATAATAAAACACAGGAAATTCTTTATGTTTCTTCTTAATTATGTTTTTCTTCTTCTTCTTCTTTTTTGGTTTATAATCCATGCATAGTTAGTCCTTGTGCACAGACCTCGCATGCAAATATATGATTTAAAAACTTTAAAAATTTATCATATAAATTATACCATTTATTTTTTAAAGAGAAAATAATGATGTTCTAAAATTCTATTCAAAAATTCATACGTAGATAAAAAAAAAAACCATATTTGTCCATAAATAAAATTAAAAAATAAAAATCAATTGGATGAGAAATTCTATAAGAAATGATAAATTAAAAGAATAAGTTTTCAATAATAAGAGTAATATGATTTGAAATAAATGCTT